CTAAGCAGCTCAGACCTAACGCATCTCAAAGTACGGACAACCTTCCAAATATGTTTATGAATACATTCAAACCTGAATTTCGTTTTGACTGTGTCGCTAACCTTCGATAATAAATATACTACAGACAAAAGCGTTGCTAGTTCCAGAATATCTGTATAAACTTTAAGTCTGTTTAGTTGTAGATGAAGTATTGCAAATAGTAATTCTCACGGCAGACTGACAATCTCATGCCTGAAATAGCCACATTTGCCGGCTAACTATTCCACACTCAACATCATTAACAATGAAATTAGGTGTATGATTCACCATTCTGTTGTCATTTTTCTAATGTGGGGTAAGTTTATGTAGATAGATAGTTTGTCTAGTGTTTGATGCCGATACGCTGACACTACGCGAAATTTTTAATGATCTAAAAAGTTTGTCGATAAGAGGTAGCCTCGGTTTTTCTTAACAGTTCTTGAGAGTATTCACGAGAAAGTGCCGTAGTTAAAGTTAGTAGAGTTGGCCCATAATATTGTCTTCTCCACTTATCTGGAATCACACCTTCGTTTAAGAGATTGTAGCACAGTACACTAAAACATGCTCTCAGGATTGGAATGGACCACTTGATGACTGGGCTGTTTTTTCAGGTACTGTGACTTTATTATGCACGTATACAGTACTTCGATTATCCCCAAAGATTACTAGAATGAGGCATTGGCCATTTGCTTCTTGAGAAAGATGAAGTGAACTAACCACTCACAAGAATTTTCTGGCGAAATAGACGACAGCTTACAGGAACTATCTTAAGTTTTCAGAACAAGTAGTGCGCACTAATTAAAATGACAGTGGTATTTTTCCTCGCTGAGTAAATTCTATTGTTTTGGTAGTTTATTACGCATCATGACTACTGTTTTCACATTAATTGGATTTATTTCAGTTAAAGTATTCAATTACAGTATCGTTTCTCCTTCCATATCATTTTGTCGTCGGTGTTTCAAAAAGGGCAGTGATTTTGTACTTGTTGTGATTATCCTTGCTTTTGTGTAATTATTGCATCAAAAGCATTCTTAGTCTAAATCAAAATACTATAGTTAAAGTTTGAAATCTTGCTAAGGTTTGTCTTGTAGTACCCTTTTACTCGTTGACTGACACTGTGTTCATACTGCGATCATATTCTGTTTTACACCTTAATCTGACTAAAATGGTTGATAGTACTCACAAATGTGGACAACCAAACTGTTTGTTCCCTGTGGAGGAAGGAATGCAGTGTGATGAATGCAAAAAGTGGTTCCATAAAATATGCACCCGTTTAAGTCCCACCACATACAAAAGATGTTCGAAGCCTAACTCACGTTGGCTTTGCGTGTTTTGCTGTGGAAATAAAACGTCACTAATACAGGAGGTTATGAGCCTATTGGCTTTGGCCTTTAAGAAGAACGATGGCACGTTAGCTGATAACACGAGCATTGACAGTGACGAATGTGTCAGTGTAGTACCCGCTGTTACACGACGTCTTAAACAATCGACTTTGACTGACGGGGGAAGTGAAATCTTCGTTAACATTAATGAGTAGGGTAGTACCACCTGACACTAACATTGGTAACCATGCACCTCTAATGGAAACTGAAGATATGAATAAAACTGTCACCGCTCAAAATAGTCCCAGTGTCCTGAGGGATAAAAAATGGACTACAGTATGAAAAAAACGAAACGAAAAGAAAAAAGCTGAAGGCAGTACGCAGGTGGTTAGCAAGTCACTGGTGGACTCCTATTGTGAGTCACAAAATTTGATAGTAAGAGAGAAACCCACCCTGACGTGACTGAAAAGAAGAATCTAGTATCATCGAATATTATTGTAAGCAAATTGCTGGAGTCGAACGACCCTGATCCCAAAACTAGACACGCGCATGATTTAGATAAGCTGGGAGAATATATTCGTAGTATCTTACCAGATAACTCTGAGTTCAGGTCAAAAAAACTGGTTAGAATAAGTAAGAGGACTGAGGACAATGTTGAACCCCGACCACGCATACTCCTTAAGGTAATCCTAGGATCGGAGAAGCAACGGGATCTTCTGTTAAGTAGCGCTTGTTGTCACAACAATTCCGACGTCCGAGTTAGACTTGATATGTCTCTCGAAGACATAATAAAAAGGAAGAGAGCACTGGCTAAACTAGGAACCCTTCGGCGAAACGGTGAGGAAAATCCCCGGCTAGTGGGTTTTCGGATAGTCAGGTCTTGGAAGCGAATGCCACCAAGGCCTGTGTGGATAGGTCGTCCTACTTAGGAGTTTTATATGCTAATGCTCGTAGTCTAAGAAATAAGTTCTATGAACTCGAAGCATTAGTGGACAGATTAAAGCCACTCATCGTAGCAGTGACAGAAACTTGGTTAGTCCATGACTTCGACACTACTCTAGAGTTATTCGAATACCATTACCTCCGGAGTGATAGACACAGATGTAGAATAAGAGGTGACGTCCTGTTATATATAGCCAATAGCATAAATATCCGCTCCTCTGCTAGTGAGTCCCATGATAGCGGTACTTGTGAAGTCATTAGCTGTAAGTTGGCTATCGGATGTAGTACATTTATGCTAGGTGTCATCTATCGCATCCCGATCTGCTTAGCTGATGACTTTATTTTAGAGCACATTCACCTTTGGAGTGCAAATACTAGATGCCTGATAATAGGAGACTTTAAAGCACCTGATATTAGTTGGACTGAGATGACCACGGAAGGATCTATAAACTTCTTTGATAGTAGGTTCCTGGTAACAATAATGGAGCATGCACTAGTGCATCATGTGTCCAAACCCACACATTTTGATACTAACCAAGGTTCTTCTCTGTTGGGCTTGGTAATCACTCATGATACTGAGGATATTGTCGACCTAAATATTCTTCCGACATTAGTGAACAGCGATCACGCTGTTTTGTCATTCATGTTTAGAACTAGGGACATGTGATACGATCAAGTTACACCCCGCCCAAATGTATGAAAGGCTAACATATCAGCCATTCGGGAATGCGCTGCTAAGACTGATTGGTTTATAGATACTAGCTTATCAGTTGAAGAATCATGGTCTGTATTTAAAGGTAAGTTTAGTTTAGTTACGTTCCCGTTCATACCTTACCTGAAACCACGAAGGCCGAATAACAGTCCACCATGGATAACGAAAACAGTCAGGAAACTTCTTAGAAAAAGGAAGAAGCACTGGAATATGTTCATCTCTACTGGCTTAGAACAATACAGATCCAGTTATTGTAAGATTAGGAATACCTGTAAAGCGTTAATAAGTAAGACTAGACGATCATATGAAAAACAATTGGTTAGGGATTCTAGATATAGTCCGAAACGGTTATTCTCGTATATAAAAAGGCGAACTCAGAGAAGCGATGGAATTCCATCAATTTTGATACACGAAAATTCGTTAGTCTTGGCAGAAAATGATACCGTAAAAGTTGAAGCTTTATCGGAATATTTCAGTAAAGTGTTTTCTATCAGTAATGAGGAATGACCAACGATTCATTGCGATCGTGGAGGCTAGTCATTAAGAAAAGTACTGTTTTAAGGCTACTTCAGCACCTCAAACCTGATAAGTCCAGTGGTCTTGATGATATTCATCCTAGGATTATGAAAGCCATATCAGATATAATTGCTGAACCATTAGCGATACTGTTTGTCATGTCACTGAGGCAGTCTAGACTGCCCAAAGATTGGAAAGACGCTATAATAAGTCAGGTGTATAATGCTGGGATTAGGGATTTAGTTAGTAACTACAGACCCGTTAGCTTACCTAGTGCAGTTATAAAGCTGATGAAAAAACCATGCGAATATCTCGTATAAACTATGTTGAAGGGCATAATCTTTTCTTCAGGGAACAGCATGGTTTTCGGAGAGGCCTATTATGCTTGACAAATCTTCTGATTGCAAGAGAAGATTGGGCTGCTGCAAAAGATCAGAATATTTCTGTGGATGTGACCTCCACAGATCTAATTAGGGCCTTCGATAAGGTCTCCCACTCTGGTCTTAAATTCAAACTGGAACGTTTTGGAATCCATTATACAGTCGTACATTGGATAAAAAACTTTTTCCATGATAGGAGACAAAGGGTAAGAGTTAACGGGGCTCTCTTCTCGTGGGTACCTGCAAAAAGTGGAGTACCCCAAGGTACAATCTTCGGTCTACTTCTATTTTTACTTTATGTAAATTAATTACCAACTATAGGAAAATCATCCGTTCTACTCTTCGCTGATGACATAAAGATTTGGAGACCCATACACAGTATGTCGGATAGGATAGTATTACAGAATGATCTTAGCTCAATGGTCGCATGGTTGGAGAGGTGTTCACTAGAAGTAAATCCTAATAGGAGTGTAGTGATACAAATAAATAACTATGATGAATCGTATCACTATACAATATTTGGATTCGTGCTACACAAAGTAAGAAACTATAGAGATTTAGGAGTCATATTAAGCAGTGATCTCAAAACCACTGGTCACTGTAAGGCTGCTGCTGAGAAAGGCTATAGGGTATTATGGTCTGTTCGTAGGTCTTTCCAGTATTGGGATGATGAAATGTTCAGATTATTATACCCGATTTATTTGCGACCACGTTTAGAATATGGGATTCAAGCAGCGAGTCCTTCTTTCAAGTATGAAGCAGAGATGCTGGACAGAGTCCAACGACGAAGTACTAAAGTGGTACAAGGTCTATCCGGCCTATCTTATGAAGACAGACTGAGACACCTTACCGTAGAGTACGGGGTGATCTAATATTGGCTTATCGTATACTGAACGATGACTTTGGTATTAACATGTCTTATCTTTTACTTCCGTCTATGACTGATCATTTGAGAGGACATTCGAAGAAAGTTCAAAAACGGAGATCAAATCATTTACGTCTGGAGTTTCGTTTCTCGCACCAAGTAGTGAATTACTGGAATTCTCTACCGGAACACGTAATATCAGCACCTTCTGTTAATATATTCAAAATGAGATTGGACCTCCAAAGTATTACAAACTGCAAGGACTAATAAAGGTCGATAGACCTCCTATCCTTATTATTATTGAGGACTGAAGACTTTTATTTACGCGCTCATCCCGGAAGTGGTGGACACAAAATTGACCTTGAGTTGTTTGTAAATGGCATATGTAAGTTAGCTTATGAGATTTCATAACATTGGAGATGAACTGTTATCATACTGAATGACTTTCCAAAAAGGATGTTACGACATTGGGCAGTGAATATATGCTCATTGTGTTCCCTAATCCCATTACTCAATGTACTGATGATCGTATGTTCAGAGATTTTCGGAACTAAAAATGCAACAGAAGCAACAAACAAAAGCAATACGATAGTATGCGTCCGGATGTATTTTTAAGAATTTCCAATCTTCCACTTCACCACGGTCGCACGAGATTTTCTCACTTAATATAATTTGAAATTTGATTTATTCTGATAGCTCTTGTCAGTAACCTCAGTGATAACTTTGATCATAGCAAAACAACCATCGTGAACCCTTAATATTTTTCGACTGGTCAACCAACATATTGAAGTTTTTTGTCCTACACAGACGCTGGTTTACTATTGAATATTCGTGTATATAGTTCACAGACTACAGGACACTAGTTTCACGTAGGAATCAATGAATATCACTGCTAAAAGTAAAATATTTGATTTCGAAAGGTTTGCCACACTGCATTGCCTTCAAGCTTTGCATCCGTGAAATCCTTTGGTTTTCGTGAGTACAGTGTAAAATTAATGTTTGTCAACCAGATTTTTATTACATGATATACCTATCGTTTTAGAGATTAGTAATGCAAAAATCTAGTTCTTGCCTACCACTCTTAATTTCAGTTCGTGAACGAAGTCATCATCATCATTACTAATTGCACCCCAAGTCGTTTCCATATATAAGACGTAAAGAATTGATACATCAATTTTTTTCTATGCTCAATGCCTGATCGTTTGGATGGGTGAGAAACACAAGGTATAAGTCCTGAGTGATCTTAAAGAAGCAATTAGCGTTACGGTAGGAGACGTAAATATTTTCGAATTACCACTCAATGCTCTGAGAAACTTTCCACTTTGGATCGTTTCTACTACACAAAACTACTTCATCCGAATACTTTAAGTACATGTGTAGTTCTTGTGGTGAGGATTTGAACTGTAAAATATTAGACTAAGGAAATGTTATTTCTAGAGATCAATCTACAATAAAAATAATTAAAAATATCAATGGATAGCCGTATAATTGCTTAGGGTAGCTAATCTAGGTGAGGACAGAAACTCTTCGTTCTAATGTGTTAGACTCAGTGTAAAATTTCGACTCTAATTTTTAATCATATTCCTTTTAGTCAACTTTCATTTTTCTAAATTAACATTCATTGTCAGTCTCGGCGGCTACTCTTGTTCGATCGAAAAGAAGTAGACTTACTGGGCGGCGAAAATCTGTTTTCTAAGCTGCAAGTAAGCTTTTTTGTGTTTTTTTATATTCAAGTAATTAAAAACAGTCCAATTGAATTTTCCTTGTTAAATTCACTTGGCTTCTTTTTCAATGACTGAATCGGTTTCTTTCGTTACTCAAGTTTAGAAGGTATAAAATTGGTTTGCATTCTAACATTTGTATCTCAATAGCTCATCGAGTTATGGTAGTGGGTTGAATCATATGAATCATAGATCCAGTCAAACCGACAAGTAACTTGTGCATTGTTATTGGACTGCATGTTTTTCGTTTCCCCTAAAATTTAAGGACCCTACTTAACAATCAACGATTGGAAGACTTCAGGCCACGACGAAAGTAGCTCATTGCGTTATTGTGGAATAAACATTGAAAGTTTAGCAATGAAGATCTTTTTGACGATATCGTTTGCTAATGTTATACACGTGTTGTGGTTTATTAGAAAACTGATTTGTGCTACTTCATAAAGTGTTTAGAAATCTCAATTATGAAATAGATTTTACTGTTTCTAATCACTGTCATTACGAAACTTCCATCTACTAATTGGAAGTTTCGAACACTTATGCTCTTCCATTTTGTTCACCAACAGCCTACTCTTTATCTTATATGAATACAACTAAACACTCGAGAAACGTCTGTCATATACAACGTAGAACCCGGTTTTTGTCTGTATCGGTTCAAATTGCAGCACTCCATCAGCACTGTGAGATGAAATTGTGATGGCGAATCCTAGAGTAGTAGATGTGGCAACAGCATTAGTGGTAATAGAAAAGAATGGGAATGCAATATATAATCTACTAGAAAAATATAAATTGATGATTTAAAAATAAGTAGAACTATAAGGGATATGGAAGCTTGAGATCTTAAAGAAAACAAGTAGTAAATGCACCTGCACCATTGCAAACGATTTTAAGTCATGTCAACAATCATAGTTATTTTATAAATAAAATGATGTTAATTCTAAAGTTCCTCTCTGGTAAACGATTAGTGAATACTTATGTTATCCTGTGCATACACATTTTTAAGTGTTTAATTGGGTGAAGTAAAATGTTGAACATTGTGGAACGACACTTCTTGATGAGCTTGGAAAAGAAACTGACTTAGTAGTGGTCATAGTGACTTGGGAGTGTAACCTTATGGCGAGGGTTACAACTGCCTAAGGCCAGTTACACGGCCTTTCTGTGAAAAGTTTGTAATGTGCGAGTTTCGTGCTTCACGAGGCCTTAAACACGAAGTCAGGAATCCGCGAGGTAAGGTGAGGTGTAATAGTTTAAGAGTCTACCTTTCCTGACCCCCTCTTCATTTGTGAAAAGGCAGTATCGTTGCAGTTGACAGGTGTTTGGGCAAAACATCTTGCTGATGTCTCATTCTACAGCTGGCAGAAAGACTTCGCCCTTGAACAGTAAGTCGCTGCTTTCAGTCTTACCGTTCCCCAACCAACTTACCTGGCATGGTAGGACCTAAAGGACTGACTATGCTAGCCAATGTCTCGATCGTGTTATCGTGGTAGACAATCTGAACCACCACTTCAAGGTAGCACCTACGGTCGAAAAGCACAATTTTTTTCATGAAATACCTTTATCTTGGAATATCTTTCCGTACTGTCCAAAATACAAAACAAATACCTTGTGAATATGGGGTTGTTCAGATTGTTGAATTGAGTTGAAATTATGGACCTAATTAAGCTGGAACACCTGAGATCACTTGATGGCCGTTTCATCCTAGTATAAAATGCAGCAGTATCTACAGTCCCTCACATAGTAATCGAACCCAGAACTTTTTGTCTTCCAATTTGATTCAAATAGCTAATAAGTATTTAATAATATTAAAATTAAAATTGACAGCCATGAAGTCACGGACTTTTATTATCTCATCTTCTACTTTAGTTGAAATATCCAGATGTTGGTTTGTCACACATACAAAATTAAGGAGTTTTGTATGCTAAACAATCAAGTTTTTTTCCTGTGACGTCGTTTTATCACTTAGATTTTTGACATCTACTTAAGGTCTCTAAATTCACTGAGTTAGATTTTAAAGGCCTTTTAAATATTAAATTAGCATTTTCATTGTCCTATTTTTTGGGCACTATGGGTTGTACCACATAGTATTCAGTTATAGTTAACGTTTGTTTGACTGCTTGGTTAATTCATAGGGAAATGGCAGCTTTACGTCGTAGGAACAGCTGTAAATTAACTTTTAAATAAGGACTATCAAAAGACACTGGTTGTGTTGCACTTTATCAGGAGAAAAGCTACACGTTTTTGTATAGCATAATATTTACCCCTTTCCGTAAGGCATAGAGCTATTTGAAGGGCTATTGGAAAGCATTGTCAGTCAGTTTATCTCATAATTTCGTATAATACATGTTTTGCGAATAATGGATTATTTTTCAATACCTTGATAGACCGTTAGCACCAACTGCACAGCATATGGTCGTGGTCACATATGGTTTGGGGATTCTTATGGCTTTGTACATCGTGTAGATCGGGGTTTACACATAATTTCATTTCAAGCTCACGACAGCTGTGTTCACCTAATGCATCAAATGAAGGAGCATGATTTACTCATAACTATTGGTGTAAGTTCTCATGAAAAACGAGTTTTACATACTACTTTTCCACTGCTCCTATGACAGTCTACCCTTTTAATTCTCACTGTTAAGATTTATTTCGCTATCTCAGTGATTTGGAGATTTACCTTTGTCTTCAAAACTGCGATATGTTTTATTGAGTACCAGAAGACAATCATCAATGACGTGGTGTTTTTAACCAAATATTTTACCGGGTTAAGCAAACTTCAACCATTATTTCACTTTTTATCTTATACTTTTGAATCAGTTAGTTAGTTAAGTCCTGTGAATGTAGTCCATATAACCACCTAAGCTCAATGTTCATTCTTTTATCTACATGTCTTAAAGTTTTTCGAATCTCTTACGTAATTATATGTAAGTTTCTTCCCGATTCTAAAAGTAGACTGTTGTGACTATGAGCCGCTTGTTATCACGTAATCTATTCGCCAATCAAAATACGACTTATTCGCTCTTATACTGTACTAAGCCAATGACGTTCGACCGGTCTGATCAGCCTAGCGTCTTATTGGTCCGTTGCTCGCCTAGCCCTTCCAGCTGAGTCCAGAATGCCAATAACAGCCTCCACTATGCGAATCATTTATTTCAGACATAATGGGTTTATATACCAAACAAACAGACCGCAACGCTGCATAAAATAAGAAATAACATTCATACACAATAAAGCCAAAAAGTGGCTGTGAACGTGGGAGGCAGTAGTCAATAAACTGAACATACAATAATATTCTCTAGATCAAAATAAAGCTTATAACAAGGGGAATGTAGATATACATAATCTAGTTACTGAATATTTATACCATAAGAATATATAAATAATATTAGTCCATTAATACGTCTCAGACGTTACTCGTAATGTTATTATTATTATTATTATTATTATTATTATTATTATTATTATTATTATTATTATCAGTTTTATTCAATATTATATTTTTGGTACAATATAGAATTCTCAGCGTAAAGTATTTCGACAAGTTCCCGTTTCTTTCTTCTTGGTCGGTCCTGGCGATAAACATCGAGTGATCGCCAGCTAGATGTTAGTAGTTCAGTAAATAAACATCTGAATAATGTGCATTCTTTTCGTTGTATATTGCCAGCAACCACATTGTCTCTTATTGAGTTTTTTGTAACTTTGAAAACGAAAGGTTGTACAGTTTTCAGAAACGCAGCAGAATAGGTTATGCGATTAATAAACATAATGATATATTAAAACAAACAAAAATAGATAACTTGTTGAAATATCTGGATGGCAGGAACAGGTAGTCCAGATGCTCAAGCAGGCCGCCCTTTATCTTCACTAGGATATAACACAGACACTAGTTGGAACCTGACCGGTACTTGTATCTTCAAATATGGAGAAATAAAACTTGGATCCTGGGCTTTCTGTCAATTATGTGTAGTTAAATACCATGTAAAAATTTTGAAGTTTAATGGAAGAAAAAGGTTATATGTTTTACTGCAAAGTCGGATACCAAATATTCTCAAGACCTTTCTGTCTCCCTTCGTCATTGTCGAACAAAGTAAATTGCTTTTAACAATCTACGATTGGTGTATAATTGCGTCCAGACATTCTGATCTGTTAAATCTTTGATAATTACTAACGGTGAAATAAGCTTTCAACGTGTCTATCATCTAAAATATGTGGATACCTTTCTTAACATACTAACGTACTTTTATGGATTTTGTATTTTACATCTATTCAGGAAGACAAAACAAAGGAGATCAATTTAAAAGTATGGAACCTTACAAAAGTAAGTTAATTTATTTACATATTTCTTTGTTGACAGTTTGTGTATAATGTAGTTTTGAAAATATAATCACGATAACATTGGAGTACTTTCTGATTTCGAACAACCTTTGCCACATACCTTAGAATCAAGTCCACAAAATATATATGATAAGACACGTATTATGTCTCTTGTTTTTATTATCCAATCCCCATGATGAACCAGTGCTTTATTTATAAAGCACGACTTTCAGCTTCTGGCTTCAAGGTGCAAACCTTCCACATACAGCTTAGTTTATCAGCATCACACACAAGCATATGCTTCAGAGCCGAGTTCATAAACCAATATTTCATTATCACTCAAATTATTTTATTAGCTCACTCATAATGATATAGTAGACATGTTATTAATCTGTAAACATCATTTTTGTCAGTTGATGAGTATTACCATACGAAAATCTTTTCCTTCGATTTAGGAGCAAACTAGATTTTATTCTTAAAGTTGTGATTTGTTTAATACTTCGAAACTAGTATCGTATTTTTGATAACTCCATTGTTTTTTTTTGATTTAGTGGACAAATAAAATGACACCATTTTGTTGTCGGGTCACATCGGTCACTCCCTCTGGGCTTCCTCTTGCTTACGTAAGTTAAAATGATCGTTTCTACCCAATGATAAACTGTGGTTTTATGTTTATGGAGAGCTAAGAAGATATTCAGCTTACCCAAAATCATTTGCTTTCATTTTACCAAGCTAGTAAATCTTGTTAAAAGTATGATTTGCTGACCTACTCTGTACATAGACTCATTTTTGTGTATTATTTATGCAGAATAAGCGAAAACTCCATTTATACTGTTATTATTAGTGACATTTATAAGAAACGTTTTCACACCTATGATGAGTGTAATTTTGAATTATTAAGAAAGTATTATATACATCAATATCGTGAACTGCACGTAACTTGGGAAATCAACTTTTTTTGTGATTTGACTACATTATCTACAAGCGTCAATGTATTATCCTGTGTAGGTGGGTTATCGAAAAAAAATTTTCAAGAGGTATCAAGCTTGATTTGTTGTTTCTAAACTAAAGCCATATATGACATATGATTTATATCTTCAGGTTACCCTTTTCCTTACTTTCTATACATTTTAAATGTTGTCATTAACAATACGGGACTAAAAATTTCCGCCATTTAATCAAAACTAACATTCATTCACCATGCGATCAATTCTAGATTTATGTATGAATTGATAAATGGTATGGTGAATGATCATTTAGTGATATGTATTTCTTACTTAGATATACTTAATTCACCTAACAAGTGAACATCTCGGAAACGTTTAGTTATTCTGGTTCGTCAATTTTCAGGCACCAGACGATGACAAAGAGCAACTGGTTACAAAGTGTCATTACTGTATCATTAAAGTCGTTGTTCTGACATACTGTTAATGAAATGTGGTTGACTATTGCTTATAATCATCAGTGAATTAGAAAGATCCTTTCAAACAGTAATCATCGAATAATGTTAAGCCTCCCACAACTCACACTTTACTAGCTAGATTGTTATCGTTATTCTATATTCGTCAATAAACGCTTGGTAAATAAGCATTTCACTAGTTTGTTGGGAATGATAAATCGCCAAAGGTAATGTATTGTGGAAAAAACCAGTCTTAAAATTTACATATTAAACTCATTTTTGTTCATTGATTTTCAATGTATTTTGGTTGTTTTATTCACTACAATTTTGTGCTTAAGTGGCATTTACTCGGTCGATACTTTTTGTAATAAATAATTATTGAATTTAGTCAATATACAATTGAATTAATTCTTCCAAAAATATTTTAAATAAGTTTTGTCTCATGGAGTAGCTGAGGCTCAGAGAGAAGAGACCTACTGTGTCCGGCATCAGATTTTTCATAGGACTGCAGATATACTTTGGTACTATAAAGTTTGATATTCTACTACTTTTCTATCTTTATGTTTTAACATCACACTTATATTGTATCCTTATTTCTACAATCAAAAGGTTACTTGTTTGGCTATAGACGAAGGTCTTCATTATATGGTTTTGGGTCATGTGAATGGTATAGTTCAGTTATTCAAAGGAGACATCACTCGTGAAAGGTAAGTTATTGTATAGTTAACTTATGATGATATTGTTTGTTTTAAGACAATTATACCGCCTTAAAAATTAATCTCGGAAACAATTTTCATTTTTTCAGTCTTTCAAAGATAGTTTACTGTGAAACCACTGTGTAGACATTTGTGAGTTGATAACTTTAGTGTTTCCAATCGAAGCCGGTAAAGACAGTCAAAACTTATAAATATATTAACAGATTTCTAAGAACATTAACAATATAAAACAACATAACTTATCGAGAATTTGTTCAACCTTTTGACATTCATCATATTCTATTCACAATATTTTATTTGTTTCTTTTAGGCAGTGTAAACGTTCTATTCTCTATGAATTTCTATGTCCTGTCACTGGGTTAGGTTTATACGTCCCAAATCATCATTATCATCAACAAAATAAACAACAAAATTGCGCGAATAGTGATCTTTCAAATATTAATCAATGTTTAGATCCTATTGTTTTCGCAGCTTCAGAGCAAAGTTTGATGAGTTTCGTACTTGGTCAAAGAGAGAAAATTAAGTATAAGGTAGGCTTATGGATATTGGTTTTGTACAGGTCGGTTGTAAATTTGTTTTTTCTTCCACTTAATTGGTTTGGTTTATTAACCAGTTGTATACAACGTAGCTCGTATTATGGATGTTTATTAGTGCAAGTTGTGACACCTCATAGTAAGAAAGTTAGAAAGAAACGTTATAAGATTCAGTCAGTCAGTCAGTCAGTAACAACGTAGAACTTCGTACGTACGTACATCAGTTCGAGTTGCCACACCACATTAGCACAGAGATGCACTTGTCGATTCAAATCCCGTAGTGGTAGAGGTAATAAGAGTATAAGCAGTAATCGGGAAGATTAGGGTTTGGAGATGTTATTTAAAGAGTATAATCCAGTGAAAGAAATTTGGAAAGAGGAAAAAAGGGACATGAAGAATTCAGAAGATTAGAATTTGGGAGAACACAGAGAGTGGATGCACCTGCGCCATTGCAAACGATTTTGAGCCATGTCATTCAGGGTCTCTAACCATCGGTTGCTATCATCTCGCGGTCCCCAACCAGGTAGTCTACACCTACCAACATGACTCAGTTCACTTGTCAGTGACTTCATGGACTTGTGCCATGTTTTGGTCTGGCCGCCCCTAGCTTTCTTCCAACCTACTCCTATACCACTGAACATAGCACGTCGAGGCAGTCGGTCGTTGGGCATACGTAACACGTGTCCCAGCCATCTCAACTGATCAAGTTTCACTACTTCATCAATTGATTTGCCATCCTTACCTAGTACCCGTTTCCTAACAACTGTGTTACTTACTCGATGGTCCCATGATATACGAGCAATGTTTCGAAGACACCTATGATCGAATACTAGTAACCTACGAATATCCTCTACTCTTACCGGCCATGTTTCACTGCCATAAAGTAGGACGGGACGAACTGCTGCGCAGTAAACACGTCCTTTGGTTGGTAGACGGATATCTCGCCTACGCCATAAATGACGCAAGTTGGCAAAAGCTAGCCGAGCCTTCTGTATCCGTGCTGAGATTTCGTCACACACCAGACCACAAGGGCTGATGAGACTTCCAAGATAAGTGAAGCGGTCGACACACTCAACTACTTCACTCCCTATCATTAGTTCGGGTGTCGATGTAACCCAATCCTGAAGCAACATTTTGCGTTTGGAGGGAGAGAATCGCATCCCGAACATGCTTGCATTGTTGCTTAGAGTGGTCAGAAGACTCTGTATTTTGTCAGCGTCTTCACCAAATAAAACTATGTCATCAGCATATTCTAAGTCAACAAGTGAACCTCCCGGTAGAAGTTCAACCCCTGGAAATTTAGATGAGGAGAGTGTTATCTCTAAAAGTACGTCGACCACAAAGTTGAACAAGAATGGGGAGAGTGGACAGCCCTGACGAACACCACTTGAGGTAATCAATTCTGATGACAGTTCGCCATAAGCTCTCACTCTACCAGTTGTGTTCGAGTAGAGAGCCTTTACAAGGTTAATGTACTTCTTCGGTACTCCTTTCAGTGACAAACACTGCCATAGAACCTCACGATCAACAGAGTCGAATGCCGCCTTAAGGTCGAGAAATACTACCATTGTGGGGCGTCTGAATGTGTGTCTGTGTTCTAGAACCTGACGTAGTGTGAATATCTGATCTATACAACCACGTCCAGGTCGAAAACCGGCCTGGTTTTCTCTAATCTGCTCTTCACGAGCTTTGATTAGGCGTCGAAGTATTATTGAGGCTAATATTTTAGACACTATATTAGTCACACTGATTCCTCTGTGATTGTCACAAGAGGACTTTTGTCCTTTCTTATAGACTGGCACAATCAGTGATTGAGACTAGTCAGATGGAATTACGTCCAGTTCCCAAATTCTACCTAAGACCTCGGTTAATCTCATTGCTAATACTGAACCACCATCCTTAAAAACCTCAGGAGTAAACCTGTCAGGGCCTGCTGCTCTCCCTCGTTTCAGATTTCCTATGGCTTTTTCAACTTCGTAAAGGGACGGAGGACCTACATTAACTTGCCATTCAGGTTGACTAGAGATCGTGGGAAACCGAAGTGTGGCTGAAGGCCAGTTGAACTGATCCCTAAAGTGTTCTGCCCATCGATCCAATCTCCTGGATTGAGAATGAATAATATGTCCATCTTTCTCTGAGATTGTTTCGCTAACGGTCGGGTTCCTAATTCCGGTTTCCTTAACGAGTCTGAACAATTGTCTGCTATTACCTATTGCCGCTGCCTTTTCCATCTCTCTTGATTTCGCTACCCACCACTGTTCGCGATCATTGCGTAGGCTTCTTTTCAGCTTGTGCTTAAGCTGACTCCGCTCTTCATTATGTTCAGAGCCAGGTGGAATGAGTTTCCGAGCATCTATCAGTGCGATAGATGCTGCTGAGATCCAGTGTTGCTCCCTAACCTTCTGGTTTACCTTAATAGCAGATATCACTGCTGTTTCCACAGCTTTTCGGATATCATTCCATGCTGCATCGGGGTGGGCATCACATACATGGCTGCCTAACTGTTTTCCTAGTTGTTCCTGAAATATACTCTTAGCTTGACTATCATTAAGTAGGCTCCTAAGAGGTTTCCTTGCAGCGTCTTTCCTACGTCCAGTAAGACGCAAGCAAATACGCGCTCGCACTAGAGCATGATCTGAATCTAAGCATGTGCTCCAGAATGAGCGACAGTCTTCTATCGAGCCCCTCCATCGGTGGCTGATAGCGATGTGATCTATTTGGGTCCAACGTTGGGACGAAGTAGGGGGTCGCCATGTTAAAAGATGTTTATCCTTATGCTTGAAGTTAGTATTTGCAAGAAAGAGGCGGTTATCTGAGCATAGCTGCAACAGACGGTCGCCATTATCTGTTCTTTGAGCCACGATGCTATAAGATCCACCTAGGTGTCTTTCCCCATCGCTTTGTTTACCTACTTGAGCATTAAAGTCACCGGCCACTATTACTACATCAGAGCGCCTAGCTTTTCGGAGAAGGTCGGAGAGCTTTCTGTAAAACTCATCTTTTACATCATCCGAGCTGCAGTCAGTGGGAGAATAGGCAGAGACGACGAAGAGGCAACGACGGGTGTCCCTATCTTTCCGGATTCTTACCGATCCGTTCAGTCGGATAGCGCACAAACGGCTGTCTACTGGGATCCACTCTAAGAGAGCTAGTTCTGCCCTAGGACTCAATGCTATAGCTACCCCGGCGAGGCCACGGGAAGCAGAATCAGGGCTTCCAGATACACGAAGCGTAAATCGAGTCGGTTCTTTATTTTGGCATGGTGAGGTCAAGTGAATGACGCTACTCGGATCCTGTATGCGCGTTTCGGAGACGCAGCACACATCGATGGTGCGAGATTCTAAAGTCCTAGCTAAGGAAGCCTGCTGTCCTATTTGGCAAAGTGTTCGTACGTTAAAAGCTCCTACGTGTAGTTTAGAGCGTGGTTTCAGGAGACCAATAATAGCGTTGCCGCGTACTCGAATCGTTTGCCCTAGCGGTGCGAGATGATAAAGAGACGTGAGGAGGGTTAGTCATGGAGATAAGAGAGGTATTAGGAGGTGTAGGAAGGATTTGAATGTGACCAACTTGGTCTCGTGTGCTGTTACGGGTATGAGGGCTGATGTCACTTCACACACCTCAAGAAATACCCTTCCACGGTGTGGACAGCCGGGAAGAGATATCAGCCCTCATACCCGTAACAGCACACGAGACCAAGTTGGTCACATTCAAATCCTTCCTACACCTCCTAATACCTCTCTTATCTCCATGACTAACCCTCCTCACGTCTCTTTATCATCTCGCACCGCTAGGGCAAACGATTCGAGTACGCGGCAACGCTATTATTGGTCTCCTGAAACCACGCTCTGAACTACACGAAGGAGCTTTTAACGTACGAACACTTTGCCAAATAGGACAGCAGGCTTCCTTAGCTAAAACTAGAATCTCTCACCATCGATGTGTGCTGCGTCTCCGAAACGCGCATACAGGATCCGAGTAGCGTCATTCACTTGACCTCACCATGCCAAAATAAAGAACCGACTCGATTTACGCTTCGTGTATCTGGAAGCCCTGATTCTGCTTCCCGTGGCCTCGCCGGGGTAGCTATAGCATTGAGTCCTAGGGCAGAACTAGCTCTCTTAGAGTGGATCCCAGTAGACAGCCGTTTGTGCGCTATCCGACTGAACGGATCGGTAAGAATCCGGAAAGATAGGGACACCCGTCGTTGCCTCTTCGTCGTCTCTGCCTATTCTCCCACTGACTGCAGCTCGGATGATGTAAAAGATGAGTTTTACAGAAAGCTCTCCGACCTTCTCCGAAAAGCTAGGCGCTCTGATGTAGTAATAGTGGCCGGTGACTTTAATGCTCAAGTAGGTAAACAAAGCGATGGGGAAAGACACCTAGGTGGATCTTATAGCATCGTGGCTCAAAGAACAGATAATGGCGACCGTCTGTTGCAGCTATGCTCAGATAACCGCCTCTTTCTTGCAAATACTAACTTCAAGCATAAGGATAAACATCTTTTAACATGGCGACCCCCTACTTCGTCCCAACGTTGGACCCAAATAGATCACATCGCTATCAGCCACCGATGGAGGGGCTCGATAGAAGACTGTCGCTCATTCTGGAGCACATGCTTAGATTCAGATCATGCTCTAGTGCGAGCGCGTATTTGCTTGCGTCTTACTGGACGTAGGAAAGACGCTGCAAGGAAACCTCTTAGGAGCCTACTTAATGATAGTCAAGCTAAGAGTATATTTCAGGAACAACTAGGAAAACAGTTAGGCAGCCATGTATGTGATGCCCACCCCGATGCAGCATGGAATGATATCCGAAAAGCTGTGGAAACAGCAGTGATATCTGCTATTAAGGTAAACCAGAAGGTTAGGGAGCAACACTGGATCTCAGCAGCATCTATCGCACTGATAGATGCTCGGAAACTCATTCCACCTGGCTCTGAACATAATGAAGAGCGGAGTCAGCTTAAGCACAAGCTGAAAAGAAGCCTACGCAATGATCGCGAACAGTGGTGGGTAGCGAAATCAAGAGAGATGGAAAAGGCAGCGGCAATAGGTAATAGCAGACAATTGTTCAGACTCGTTAAGGAAACCGGAATTAGGAACCCGACCGTTAGCGAAACAATCTCAGAGAAAGATGGACATATTATTCATTCTCAATCCAGGAGATTGGATCGATGGGCAGAACACTTTAGGGATCAGTTCAACTGGCCTTCAGCCACACTTCGGTTTCCCACGATCTCTAGTCAACCTGAATGGCAAGTTAATGTAGGTCCTCCGTCCCTTTACGAAGTTGAAAAAGCCATAGGAAATCTGAAACGAGGGAGAGCAGCAGGCCCTGACAGGTTTACTCCTGAGGTTTTTAAGGATGGTGGTTCAGTATTAGCAATGAGATTAACCGAGGTCTTAGGTAGAATTTGGGAACTGGACGTAATTCCATCTGACTAGTCTCAATCACTGATTGTGCCAGTCTATAAGAAAGGACAAAAGTCCTCTTGTGACAATCACAGAGGAATCAGTGTGACTAATATAGTGTCTAAAATATTAGCCTCAATAATACTTCGACGCCTAATCAAAGCTCGTGAAGAGCAGATTAGAGAAAACCAGGCCGGTTTTCGACCTGGACGTGGTTGTATAGATCAGATATTCACACTACGTCAGGTTCTAGAACACAGACACACATTCAGACGCCCCACAATGGTAGTATTTCTCGACCTTAAGGCGGCATTCGACTCTGTTGATCGTGAGGTTCTATGGCAGTGTTTGTCACTGAAAGGAGTACCGAAGAAGTACATTAACCTTGTAAAGGCTCTCTACTCGAACACAACTGGTAGAGTGAGAGCTTATGGCGAACTGTCATCAGAATTGATTACCTCAAGTGGTGTTCGTCAGGGCTGTCCACTCTCCCCATTCTTGTTCAACTTTGTGGTCGACGTACTTTTAGAGATAACACTCTCCTCATCTAAATTTCCAGGGGTTGAACTTCTACCGGGAGGTTCACTTGTTGACTTAGAATATGCTGATGACATAGTTTTATTTGGTGAAGACGCTGACAAAATACAGAGTCTTCTGACCACTCTAAGCAACAATGCAAGCATGTTCGGGATGCGATTCTCTCCCTCCAAACGCAAAATGTTGCTTCAGGATTGGGTTACATCGACACCCGAACTAATGATAGGGAGTGAAGTAGTTGAGTGTGTCGACCGCTTCACTTATCTTGGAAGTCTCATCAGCCCTTGTGGTCTGGTGTGTGACGAAATCTCAGCACGGATACAGAAGGCTCGGCTAGCTTTTGCCAACTTGCGTCATTTATGGCGTAGGCGAGATATCCGTCTACCAACCAAAGGACGTGTTTACTGCGCAGCAGTTCGTCCCGTCCTACTTTATGGCAGTGAAACATGGCCGGTAAGAGTAGAGGATATTCGTAGGTTACTAGTATTCGATCATAGGTGTCTTCGAAACATTGCTCGTATATCATGGGACCATCGAGTAAGTAACACAGTTGTTAGGAAACGGGTACTAGGTAAGGATGGCAAATCAATTGATGAAGTAGTGAAACTTGATCAGTTGAGATGGCTGGGACACGTGTTACGTATGCCCAACGACCGACTGCCTCGACGTGCGATGTTCAGTGGTATAGGAGTAGGTTGGAAGAAAGCTAGAGGCGGCCAGACCAAAACATGGCACAAGTCCATGAAGTCACTGACAAGTGGACTGAGTCATGTTGGTAGGTGTAGACTACCTGGTTGGGGACCGCGAGATGATAGCAACCGATGGTTAGAGACCCTGAATGACATGGCTCAAAATCGTTTGCAATGGCGCAGGTGCATCCACTCTCTGTGTTCTCCCAAATTCTAATCTTCTGAATTCTTCATGTCCCTTTTTTCCTCTTTCCAAATTTCTTTCACTGGATTATACTCTTTAAATAACATCTCCAAACCCTAATCTTCCCGATTACTGCTTATACTCTTATTACCTCTACCACTACGGGATTTAAATCGACAAGTGCATCTCTGTGCTAATGTGGTGTGGCAACTCGAACTGATGTACGTACGTACGAAGTTCTACGTTGTTACTGACTGACTGACTGACTGACTGACTGACTGACTGACTGACTGACTGACTGACTGACTGACTGACTGACTGACTGACTGACTGACTGACTGACTGACTGACTGACTGACTGAATGACTGACTGACTGACTGACTGACTGACTGACTGACTGACTGACTGACTGACTGACTGACTGACTGACTGACTGACTGACTGACTGACTGACTGACTGACTGACTGACTGACTGACTGACTGACTGACTGACTGACTGACTGACTGACTGACTGACTGACTGACTGACTGACTGACTGACTGACTGACTGACTGACTGACTGATTAATTACATTTATTAATATCAATTGAAAGATAAAGACACTTATAAAATCATAAACTGAGTACGGAAGCAATTTACATAACTGGAGAATTATAAATTGTGTAAACTGAAATAAAACTCAAAGAATAGAATATTGTTGCATCATTTTCGTTGATTTTCAACCAAGTGACCTAAATTTGTTTTTCCTAATATCTTGTCATTTTAGTTGCAAATTCTATAGTTCTCAAAATTAAAAACTATGATATGCGAGACCTGTGATATTTTCTAGATCATGCTTTGTTACAATTTATGTTTTCAGGAATAAATTATATATTGTTTTAGATATGATATTTTGTTATTAGTATGATTTTGTTGTGCTTGTATACGTGCTACGTTGATATTTTCTATCTAAATTCTATTTCGTATGAAATTTTAAATAACATAGTACGTTAATGAATTTGCTTCGAAAACCTACTACACGCTTTGATCAGTACTGTTCCATATCCTCAGTTTCACTTTTAAATATTTTTCATATAAATGTATTTGTAGACTGTACTGGACCGGTTTGGAGTACGACCTCACTGTACAACTATGCTATTTACTGATGATATTACTGGAGCCAGTCCTCAGTTTGCTGTGGCATGTTCAGATGTGAGTTTGTAAATTACTACCTAAAAATATCACAGAATCCGTTATTGTATAACATAAAATAGGCTGATTATGCTAGGCTAAACTGTATTATGGTGATATACCATTTATTTTATAGCCATTCTTGCAAGACTTAATAACTATTTATGTATATTGAGCCTATACATACACATACATCAATTATTACTGTATAATATTTTTTTAAAGGCTGTATACTTCTACAATTGGGATGGTAGGGGACCTTGTTTAGCTACAGATGGCGAAAAAATTGCTTTAGAAACATACAAAAATTATTTGATTATACTGAAAAATACCGGGTAAGTTACTTTTTAAATATCTATTTCATCAATGTGCTTTTAGTGAGGTTTCTCTCAATCTTCTTTCTATCTGACAATACTAACATTATTTCCCACTTCATAACAGATGGTAAAATAAAGTTTCATTAGATGTATATGTTAGGATTCCAAATGATTTCCAGTGTAGCAAGTTTTAAATTATCGAAAAACTAAGTATAATATTTTCAAAATTCAAGGGTATCTATATATTGGCAATCTGAAAACAATCTGTTTACCATTATTAATTACTGTAAAATTATTACATCCATATTTGAAATACTTTTTACTACTTATCCACCTGGTGTGTTTACGACTTCATGGGAACTCATGGAGCATCTGAGATCTTTAGTTTATCTGGGCTACTTTTATGGACTTCAGTTAACACAATCAGTCATACTCAGTGTAGAAATAGACGCACACATATCGGTTCAGGTTGCCACATCATATCAGAACAGCGAGATGCAAAAGCAGTGAAAGGAGTAACAGTATGAGTGGTATTAGAAACAATTAGGCATAGACACTGTGACTCAAGAAGAAAGTATGAAATATTGGAATAAAAATGGCAAATTGTTATTTTGAAACGTAGAGTCTAAAGAGAGACAAAGAATGGTTACCTGCTTCTGTCTGGGCACCTGGGCAGTATCCCAGCCCTCACATAAATCGAATGATTTATGTGGCGCATATCTGTTTGGTGCCTCCTTGTACCAATGTTTATGTGTTTAACTAAATAAATAAATAAAGTGATTACATCTATTCCGTTGTGAGCCATTTCGAGCTATGTCAACCATCGTCTCCGACCATTAGTTGCGATAATCTCGCTGACCTCTTCATCAGAATAATCTCTTAAGATACGGGTCACTTTGTTTCGACCATACCGAAGTTCATTGACTAATCATTAATTGTTGATTACTATCTTGTTTTGTGATTCTACCACTTAGTGATGTGGTTTCTAGTTTCATTGAAATAAGAATTTCGATATCCTCAGTGCCCCATACCAATAAGTTTATTGTGTTAACTCATTTACTGAGACTAGATTCGATAGTGTTATTAAAATCTAACCATTAACTAGGTTTTTGATTTAAAACCAACCTCGCCTATTTTTGGTGCAATGAATTTATACTTTAAGCAGTATATATCTTAACCTACCATAGGTAATTTTTAGCGATAGATTTGTGTGTATTTTTTAAATCGAGTATTATGTAGTGTCAAAATTGTCCAACTCCATCATTCTTGCAGATGCATCATTTGACCTGGTAGTCAAATTGTGCTCAGTTAGTGCTTAATTATATTCACTACTCAAGATCGCCATCTTGGTTACTAACCTTTTACCCATTTCATAAATATAGTTCAGTCGTTACATATTCTTCCATCAATCAAACATCTAAACGCCACGGATAAGTTGTATTTGAATTTCCAGATTCTGTGTATCATTTACTGAGTGTTAACAAGAAGGATTTAAACGTGTTTGGTTCTGTGCTATCACTGTAGTACATCATCTGACTGTATTTAAATTTATACACAATTCTTCACCTAACCCCATTTTGGTAATAATGTTATTCAAAAGTCAAATACGAAATGCAACAGGAATACTGCATTTCATCCAAGTGTTCAGTAAGCATGAGTTTAATCACACCCATTTAGATTGGTTGAATGAATCAATAGATCTATATGGATCATTGCATGAGCTAATGTAGTCACAAAATAGTTAATTAGATAAGTGGTAAACAAACACATACATACTCCAGGCATACACATATAGTAACGAACATGAATATAAGTGAATAGCTTTGCTCACGACAATAAATACAATGTGATTAACACGATCAGAAACGACAAATTCAATCGTTTTCTCTTTTTTATCTGAATAGTTGGGGAACAGAATTATGAAAAAGGTGGCTTAGTGGTTAAGGGACTTTCAGCCGCCGAGTCCCAAGTTCGAACTTCACTCCAGCTACTTCTGTTAAGGCAATTTGGGTAGCTTTACTAACCCTCACACTTAGAATGTGTCTCGTACCTAATTACCTGGTGAATAAACTAATTTATTATAATAACAATGATTATTTTCGTACTATGTACGAACCAATCAAAGCTCTTTCGCACATATATGTTAGTAACTGTGGCGTGCTTCATTTTTCTTTCTTTTATTTCTAGAGAATCACTAGTCAATTCCTATAACCCATTTTTAAACTTATCATATAAAAATAAAGATATAAGGAAATCATTGTCATCCTCATCATCAGCTGTAGCAACAACAACAAACACTACTGCAACGACAACAGCGACAGGAACAACACTTCCACCACCGCTCCCATCATCTCAATCATTTAATTATATTACTTCGGGTACAATTGTTATCCAAGATTATAATAATAAATTTGTTGCTGGTGAATTTCATTTCACCTACTTCAAAGCATTATTCATTGAGTGGAATGGTATTTATTTATTGTGTGGAAATGAATGTTTCAATCAATCAATAGAAGATACATTGAATAATAAAGATGAGGATGTTGTTGGAACAACTTCGAAAGTTTGTGAAGTTGTTTTTATTTTTATTCTCTTTGTCTTTTATATTGATTTTAAACTTTGGAGTTCATCTTTACTTCCCTGAGTTAGGATGCGTTACAATCCATACATGTGCGAGTGTTACTAGGATTAGAGATTTGTTAAGATAGTTTAATTTGGAGATAGTTTACACCTCAGGAGTAGACAAGGCATTGCTTGTGCACCGTGGACGATAAGGTGAGCAGGTATGTGGTTAGGCGTAGGGTACTAGTAGAAACGAGGTAAATCAGTTGATAAGATAGTGAATGCTTATCAACTGAGGGTGTTTAAGATGCTTATTACGTATGCCTAACCACCATCTACTTTCAAGATCAATCTTCGCTGTTGTAGAAGTAAGTTTGGGGAAAGCTAGGTGCTGTCGAACTAAAAAGTGCCATCGGTCCATGAAATCATTGACCTTTAGTCTGAGCCTCGTTGACTGATGCAGATTATCTGCTTAGGGTATGCAAAATAACCTGAATCAGTCGTTCGACACGTTGCGTGAGATACCTTAAAATCAATCACATTGGCGAAACTGCTTTCACACTTCATCTCACTCTAAATCATGAAGGCCAGTATTCCTTCAAACACTCCTCTCCACTTTGTGTTTTCAAACTATATTATCAATGTCTGTTCTTTCTTATCATTGCTACTGCATTATTTCGATTCCTTTACTATTCATCTTGTTAATTTCATCTTGTCGTGTTAATGTGATATGTCAGCATGCGCAAACGCTCATTTTTTCCATGTTCTATGTTTAGCAATTATTACTGACTGACTGATACCACAAACTTTTTCCAGCCAAACAGCTATTGGAAACTAAGAATTAATGGGCAGCACTTTCGTCCAAATATAGGATTCTTAAGACAAGCGCATCTACGACCCTACCATGGATTAAACTTAGAACTTTTCACAAGAAAAGGAGAGTGGATTATTTCAGATCATCGAATTGAAGTCTAATGGTGGAGATTTCTAACTTTAATCAACTCCCAAAAGATTTGTAAAATGCCATCCATCACAGTACCAACATGGTGTAGACGTTTTCAAGCTGTTGGTTAGGAAGGAGTTGACTATGTGGTCCTCTTGAAGTTGCAACCACATGTAATCCATTGAATTGCTCTGGTTTCCTCAGCATCTCAGTGTCATATTTCAGATCTATCAGTCGTCTACATTCCACAGTGACTATTTGTGACATTATCGGGGGTATCATCTCAACTTTACTCAGCAGATGTGCGCAGGCGCCAGCATTTAGAGGTTATAGTTCATAGATAAAGAATAAGACAATTGAATTAGTCGGTTATACCTCAAAGTGTTCACTTTCTGCTTAAGCAATGGCTGCATAAGTGACCGCGTTGTCAGTTCCTCATTTTCTGAGCCTCATACATTGATATTACGTACTAAAAAGTGAACACTAGTCTTCGGAAATCTGGGACAATATTTTTGATATCTCTTCGGAACTCGGATCTCGTGGTTTGTATTGTAATATAAAACTTGGATGCCTTTCATGTTCTGTGTTATCAAGATTGCTCATCAGTCACCATATCTTCCATGCATCATGTTGGTTTGCAATCAGTCAGCTACAACGTAGGACCCGGTACATATATGCACCGGTTCAAGTTGTCACACCTCATTAGCATAACGAGATAATCACCAAGTTCATAGAAGTAGTTACTTCAATGGTAATAATATATGAAAGAAAGGTTGTATATCAGGATTTAGTACAGGAAGAAAGAATTAGTTGGTAGAAAGAAAGGATTAAAGTAATTTTAATCTCACTGTTTAAGGGAAGAAAAAGAGTGTATACACCTACGCCATTGTGATCTATTCTGAGCCATTTCACCCAGAGTCTTCAACAATTGGTTACAATAGTCACGCGGACCCCAACTAAGTAATGTGCATCTAATAACATGGCTAAAACCAGAAGTTAGTGACTTCAAGTACTGATGACACGTTTTGGTTTGGTCGCCTCTAAATTTTTTCCAACCGTCTCCAACACTAGTTAGCGTTACGCGCCAACTCAACCCGGAAGAAATCTTTATGATGTTTGAACCAAGAATTAAAAGTTATGTTGGGAAACGAATCATGGAAATCTTCAAAAAATATTATTAGCGATTCGTTCAGCTGTTGATGTCTTGTGGGATGTAACAGGTTGATTCAACGTCGTGACAGATGGATGTTCCGACGAATTTTCATCTGTTATTGAAACAATAATTTCATGTCTGCGTCAGTTGAGATTTTCCTTCAAATAACCACCTTCAATTGTTATAAGCTTAATCAGGAGAGATTTTTTAGGACTTGCACCGGATATCTCTAGACCTAAAACTCATGAATTACCTCAGTCACCATTGTTAAAATCTGCTCTTCGCAACACAGTGTGAAGATATCAACGCAATAGTACGCAAGACTAAGTGATCTCAATATTAACTTCACTGAGTAAACATAAGTTATAACTCTTCAAATTATGCTTCTGTACAAAATATTACCGGAAAAATAAGCACGAAATAATGTCATAATGAAATGGAAATAATCAGTTTCTCAGGTCAATTGCGCTTCAATCAACTAAGAGCCTGCTAATCGTATCCATGTTTGGTCTTTTTAATATTTGTAGGTTGTATCAAAAGTATCGGGGGTATAATTTCGAAGGTTCATTGTTTGTGTTCATTCATTGAAATCACCCTTATGTTCTCAAAATCTTGTAAACGATTGCGTTAATATTTTCGAATTGAACTCCGACAAAATGTTCGTCAAACTTCAGTAAGTACACTATCACTGCTCACGTTCAGACACTTCGAAACACTGCTCAAGATCAGTTATAAAGGGATAAAATTATTGTAATAAAAATTAATCTGTCCGTAGTTCATACAATGATGGTAAAATATCTCACTAAATGTACTGCCAGCAAATTGAAGCACCCGACAAATTGAAAAAAATACCGAAGTGTGTTGAAGAAAACTTACAAAAATTCTGTGTACTAAGAATCTCTCAGCACTTCATAAGGAAGATGATTTCATGGGACTGAAATAAGATACCTCAAGAAGATAATCACAAAATCAAGGAAGACAAACTTGTCCTACGGTTATGATTGTATAATTTATGGTAAAAATAGCATTCTTTATACACAATTTTTCTTTACACTAATTAATAACTACATTAAAATAATTATAAATTTCGTACTAAACAAATATTAAAATCCAGTGAGTAATTGTAAGAATAAATTAGAATAACGTACTGAAATAATTAGCAACTCATTTTATCAAAATAAATGGAATGTTTAATTGAATTATTCTGTAATTTTCCTTATGATCTCTTCTTTTCACTATTGTTCAGTTAATTTCGTATAAACTTTGTTGCAGATGATTTGTTTAACTGAAAAAGATACTCAAATTAAGTTGGACATGTTATTTTCAAAAAAGAATTTCAATTTAGCTATTGAGTAAGTTAGGCACATGGTATTGTCAAGTTATTATTGTTATTTTCGTTGTATGACACACTTCTATTTGAACCAACAGCGAATATTTAACATTAGGCATAGGCAATGAAAAAAGAGAGGTTAATTCAACGTTATCGAACAAAAACCAACTCGTTTATCGACTAAATGTGGTAGTAAACATCCTATTTACTGTTATGAAGTAAAGAAAAATTACCGTAGAAACAATAACTAGTCATTATTGATACACTCAGAAACATTATATATGTGTACGCATACGTTCACTTGACATACTTACACATTTTCATGTAAAAGGTTTACGTGTATTGAAGACTGATTGGTATTAATAAAGCATCGGTGTTAAACTTCGGACTCTATTCCTTATGTTTACATCAGAACAATATATTGTAATTTGAGGATCCTTACAACCAATGAGAAAAACTGATATATTACATACTGGTTGGCGAATTTGATGCATTTGGAATATTTGAAACTAAATACCTGTTTATAAGTTATTGTTCTGAATCTCGAATGTAAACTGTTTTGTCTTGGCTTTTGATATCTCTCGGTGGCATGCCTATGGCTAATTGAACTTATATCTGATTTTGGAAACTCAAGCGATAAGTTACAACAGTTGAAACGATATTTGGATGGATCCACCTAGCGGAGTTGTAGAACCCTGATTCCACACCATTGGGAACATTAGCTCCAGGATCCTAAGGGAACTAATGGCGTATGAACCTGTTGTTGTTCACCGGCGACCATGAGATCGAACCTACTAACGTTGCTCCGTTGCCTTAATGATTGAATCTCTAGGTCCAAGGCTTGGGGAGTGATCTCCTAAGAAAACCACCTGCTTCGGTTTGGGAAACTGGACAGTATCTCGGCCTTCATATACATTTTCTGTAGTGGATATATATTTTGATGCCTCTTTGTATCAATGTTTATGTGTTTACATAAATAAATCATAAATGTATCGAGACCGCTGACCGATATTGTATGCCAAGTCACCAATTAGAATCCTAATTCTAATCTTGGTCTATTTCACGTCTACCATTTCCTCGTCAGCCCAATGTCCTCGAATCGTCCAAATGCACGTCCGATCAGCACTATTAACCTTGAGTCAGCAGCTAGGTTCCTATTGGTCCATCATCCTCAAGCCCCTTTCTTTGTCCGGCGTTGATTCCAAAAGCAACAGCCATCTCCTATTATCTTTTTACTTTGAACTGTCGTGCTTTACATACAAGCATATCGGAATGCATAAAATGAAAATTAATAAAACAAGCCAAAGATGGCTGTGAATGAGGAAGACTGTAAGTACCAGTCTGACAACATAATTAGAAGTAGCAAGTCACATAACAGTACTTTGTATGTTAACCGAAAGCTTAAGATAAATGGAAAATAAATACATGATAATTTAAATACTCAGTAACTATAAACCAAAATTATAATCAATGAATTTCGACGATTCCAACTTTTACACTATCTTTCTGTTATTACAACAGTTTACTTGATTCTTAAGAAATATACAAATATTTTGTCAAAAATATGGGTTTCGTAAGTGTGAATATGTCTAAATTTCTTTGGCTATCTATCATTATCTCATCATGACAAATTCGATAATTAATAAATGTAACAGTTTAACCTCTTGTTTATACATATTAACCCTTATGTATCATTTTTATTATTAAGCAAGGCTGAAACATATGAAAAAAGTCCACAAATTCTCCTCTAAGTACTCAAATACCTTTATATATGGTTATTATCTCCATGTAAATAAAATATATCATCTGGATACCCTAAACTATTCAGCAAAACAACCTTAAAATACGAAATAAAGTAAATGTAACCTCTATTAATAATATCAACAAAATTTACTGGCAGTTCTTAACTCAATTGATAACTCTTAAATATCACTTTCATTCAACTGTACGAATTTAACATTTAAATCTATAATTTATTGTTTTACAATGCATGATCTTGTTAAAATATCATATTCTAAATTGTTCAATTATTATCCTAACTCAGTCGTTCTTAGAGTTGACTATAGAAACCAAGGCAAATTAGCATAAATATATAAACTAATTTTAATATCTATATATATTTTTTGCTAGTGAAAGTTAGTAAAATGAAGCAATTTTTCTAAATTACATTTTAGGATAGCTAAGTCTCAACATTTTGATGAAAATGAATTAGCTCACATATTTTGGCGTTACGCTGATCACCTTTATAAGTAAGTTATGTTCATAGAATAATCATTTCACATATAACTTATCATCTGATCATTATTTTTATTTAATTCTTTTAATTGGTTTGTTTGTTTCAAGAACTGACTAATTAGAAATTTAAAATATTGTTACTAGATCTCATAATTTCCTGTCAATGATTTTATGAAACTAAGTTTTTCAGCATTCATCAGTATCATAACCTTGTTGTATTTATTTATTTATTTATTTATTTTAACACATAAACATTGGTACAAGAGAGCGCCAATATATATGCGCCACGCAAAACAATGAGAATTCGAAGAGACAAAAAAAGGTAAGGGGCGTAAAAAAAGAACAATAGCGAACAGATTAGTGTAAGGTAGTGTAATAATAATAATAGAACAGTTGATGTCTTCACTAAGTTTACGTGGTTGTTACGGAAATGACTGACAATCGCAAAGACAAATGACTAAGATAGCTTCATATTATTAACAATCTGGCTTAAATTGGTTATCAGTAGACAGGAAAATCGCCTGGTTTGAGACTAATGTGAGAATATCCGCCAAGTATTTCAATCCCAGTTGACACACTCAACTAAAACACGTCATACCTCAGGAATCACTTAACGCTCTCACAGTTTTTTTCCTGCAATCAGGATTATGGTTAAATTAACGAAAACTGAATTGCACGGATCAATATGGTTTTATCGTGTTTTTTATTTGTATCTTACGGCCTCGATCAGTCTCAATCGATGCAGTCAAACTAAACGACATTACTCATTATTTCAGTCTTTAGTAATAACAATGATAGGTCGCTTTACCTGTGTTCATCCCTCCAACTTGTCTTGAAGTGGAAAACCAGCCTCTCCGTAAAAGTGTTCACTGATCGAGTCGATACCACTTGTTCGAGTAGGATATTTCAGTCACTGACTGCTCAATAAGAACAAGATCCAACTCTGAGTTTATTCAGCTGCCGTTTACAAAACTTTTCAATTGCCCAGATGATTGGTCCTGTCGGAAACAAAAGCTAAGACATGTTAAAGCCGAAATCATTATTTAAGATAAGGAGCGTCAATATGTGGTTGTATCGAGTTCTTATTTATTTATTTATTTATTTGAACACATATATATTGGTACAGGAGTGCGCCGAATATATATGCGCCACACAAAACAATGAGAATCTAATAAGAAAAAAAAGTGAGGAACGTAAAAAATGATGATGATAATAATAGTAATAATATAAAAAAAAACAATGACGGAAAGATTGGTGTAAGGTAGTGTAATAATAATAATAGCAATAGTAGGGGAATAGAAGGGTACAATCAGAAGAAATCTTTCAGTTAAGGAAGATACAACCACTTTTTTATGAAGAAAGTAAAAGAAGGTTACAGCAGGATCGCCACTGGCTTCTATTCTGAGGCATATCTGATAACGTCTCTAGCCACTGTGTAGCACCACCTCTCAGACCCCAACCAGGGAGTCGTGAAGGACCGACAAAAGCCAGCCCTTTGCAGCTTTCTCTCATACCACGACACCATGTTATACACTGACCACCTCTCCACCTCGCCTTTTCCAACCAGTCCCAGAGTCGGCAAACAATGCACGACGTGGAATTCTCTGGGATGACATTCGGAGAACATGTCCAAGCCACCGAAGTCGGTGTTTCAAGATGGTGACACCAATTGGATTATCGTCTCTGCGCCTGAACACACGATGCCAAACCTCTGCATTATTAACATGGTGTTGCCACTGGATGTCGACAATCCTTCGGAGCCAGTGATGGTCAAACACAGAGTCGTCTAACGTCCTCAACTCGGAGAGGCCAGGTTTCACAAGCATAGAGCAAAACTGCTTTCACTGACGCGTTGTAGGTCCGACCTTTTACGGCCAGACTAACATCACGAAGGCGCCAAAGGTGGCCCAGATTGGCATAAGCCTCTCTGGCTTTCACTATACGTGCATTGATCTCATCACTCACGCCACCACCGGCACTTATGCAGCTACCTAGATATACGAACTTCTCGACTACTTCTATCTGCTCACCATCCAGGGTGAGTACAGGATTAGAATCCTGCCAGTCTTGTAGAAGCACTTTGCACTTCAAAGGTGCAAAGCACGTACCATACCCAAGGACACTGATTGTCAACTGATTAAGTGTGAATTGCATGGTTTGGGCATTATCTCACAGTAAGATAATATCATCCGCATACTCAAGGTCGAGAAGTCTTTCTCCAGACAACAGATCCCCACCACCATTACCTACATCCATCAGAGCTGTTTCCAGAATGTCATTGATGGCAAAGTTGAAGAGGAATGGTGAGATTGGGCAACCCTGCCTAACCCCACTGCTTGAATGGAACAATGGAGAGAGGTGGCTGTATGCCGTCACTCTAACTGAGGTGTTTGTATATAGTGCCTTTAGGATGTTAATAAACTTCTCAGGCACACCCTTCTTCAATAGACAATCCCAGATAACAGTCCTGTCCAACGAATCGAAGGCAGCCCTGATGTCAAGAAACACTACGATTATTGGTCTGTGACAAATGTGACGGTGTTCTAACATTTGACGGAGGGTGAACATATAATCAATACATCCTCGACCAGAATGAAAGCTATTCTCCTCCTCATTAGTCAAACTTTCTTGAGTTGTGAACAACCTACGAAGTACGACAGAAGCTCATAGCTTGGATGCAATCGGAAGTAAGCTTATCTCCCGATAGTTGTTACAGGAACGACGTGAACCCTTTTTAGAGATAGAAACAACTATCGACTCATTCCATGATGTTGGAACACTCTCTAGCTCCCAGACCTTTGTAAACAATGTATTCATTTCCTTAACCAGAAAGTCACCATTATCTTTAAAAAGAGTCGGAAGTAAGTTATCTAGGCCTGGTGACTTGTAGTGCTTTAAGAGTTGGAGTTCCTTGTGGACTTCCGCCTCATTAGGTGGATCAGTCGTCACTGGCCATGGAGGGCAGGACATTCTGACCGATGTTGCCGGAGCAGCAGGCCAGTTGAACTGCCCTTCGAAGAATTCTGCCCATCGTCCACGATGTCGATGGGTGTTAGTGGTTGGCATCCCGCCATCCTCACAGATTGTTTCGCTCACACTAGACTTCTTGCTGCCAGTGGCTCGGATGAGTTGGAAGAGCTTCTGGTGGTTACCAGATACAGCTACTGCTTCCAGCTCATTAGCACGCTCCGATTACCAGGCTCCTCGGTCCTTACACAGGCTTTGCCCAATTTCATTACGTAACAGCCTTCATTTGTGGTCAAACTCATGATCACCAGGAGAAGACCGACGGGTGTCAATGAGTTGTAAGGAGCCTGAAGAAACCCTGTGCTTATAAGCGAAACGTTTCGCGAAGCCGCAAGCGACTTTACTCGCCATTTTGATGGCGTCATGCAATTGCAACCAATGCTCATCCATACTTTTCGGTGGGATGTTAGCTAGCCTAGAAGACAGCTCGGTTCGATACATAGTTACAACAGAAGTTGCAACCAACTTGGTGGCAGTCACTTCGTTGGCCACTGAAAAGTAGGGTAAGATTGGCGTAGACCAGGGCATGATCAGAGTCCAGATAGGTACTACAAAAGGAGCGGCAGTCTTGTACACAACCACGCCGGCGGTAGCTGGTCGCTATGTGATCACTCTGAGTCCAGGCTTGAGATGCAAAGGAAGGACGCCAGGTGGCACATCGGCGATGACTGTGCCGGAAGTTACGTTGTGGTCTGTGCACAGTTGCACTAGACGGTCCCTGTTATCTGTCCTGCGATCAACAAGTCTTCATCGGCCACCTAAACGACTCTCTTCTGTGCCTAGACGCCCGACCTGAGCATCCAAGTCTCCGGCTAGTACTAAAATATCTGTCGAACGCACTTTCTGGAGAAGAACAGTTAACTGGTGGTAGAATCCATTGTTGACTGCATCTGAGCTGCAATCTGTCGGGGCATAGGCGGAGATGACGAAAATTCATCGTTTCTCACGCTGATCTTTTCTCACTTTGACGGAACTTTCTAATCTAACAGCACATAACAGACTGTTAATGGGGATCCAATCGATTAGTGATGCCTCAGCTCTAGCGCTTAGTGTGACACCTAGGCCAGCAAGACCAGACGAAGATGCCACAGGGTCTCCCGGATAAACACACGTAAAACATGCTTTTTGAAGTGACAGATGGAGAGCGAATTTGTAGTACTTCACCAGAGTTTTGAATACGGGTCTCGGATAGACAATAAACGTCGATATTAAGACTTTCCAAAGACATAGCCAGCCCTATCTGTTGTCCGACCTGCATAAGTGTGGGAACGTTGAAGGCAGCCAGTTTGAATGGTGCACGTGGTTTCAGAAAAACTGCTTCAGTATTCGTATTTGGTGGTAGCATACAATTTTCAACTAGGCAGTGACTCGAGAACGTTTAGATAGAACCGAGTTTCCATCATAGGCGAGCTGCTGTATAAGTCGAAAAATAAGGATAAACAGAGTGGAAATAAAAGAGAGTGAATAAATGACTTAAAAAATAATAATAACAGTAATAATAATATGAGAACGGGTCTGTGGAGATTTTAAGAAATTTTACAGATTGAAATCAAGAGTCAATTGAAGCTAGACCACTATGGAAAACCTGTAGTAACTGGATGGCCGTTTCGTCTTAGTATGGGTCTCCTCAGCAGTGCGCATCCACGATCCCGCACTCCGCGAGATTCGAACCCAGGACCTATTAGTTTCGCGCCAGGCGCTTAGCCAACTAGACCACTGAGCCGGCATCCAATGGTGTTAATAATAATAATAATAATGTGAACCGTTTGATTGTTAATCGAAGCAAGACAAGTATTTTCCATAAATATCGACATTTCATTATATTTGTGTGTGGGCTGTGATACTGCCCGGGTGCCCAGACTGAAGCGGGTGGTTTTATAGGGGGTCACACCCCGAGCCTTTGACCTAAAGGTCTGACCCACAAGGCAGTGAAACATCGTGAGGAGATGCAGTCCCATGGTAGCCGGTGACCAACGATTGGATCATACGTTATTTGTTCTCGCAGGATCTGGAGCCCATGCGCACCATTGGTTTGGGATCCGGTTAAAGCGCCGGACTTTCGCTTTTCGTTGTTGTACATACAATCCTACTTCTTCATAGTAACCTGGTCAACCTAATCACTGTACACTCTTCTGTTAAACTATGTTTAAGGAAATGTGTTATTTCATGAATTCTAACCTTGATATCCATAAATTTAATCGACTTGACTTCATTTAACTGACCGACTGATCTGTCGGATTTTCTATCTATTAACGCAACCTGTGTAACTTAAAGATTATTTTCAAGGTGTCTTGTATCTTTTCTTTAATACTTTGCAATCCTCAATTACGTACTCCTTGGAAATGTAATGATGAGACAACTCAATTATGACAACGACTTCAAAATTAAGTAAAGAAGCTTATTGAACTTCAAAGCGCTAATCATTGTGTTGCGTTGCCTATCACCTCAAAACTGTAAATATTTTCTGTAACATAACTATTTCTCTCTTTTTCTTAAATAATAATCAACTGATTTTCTTGTGTGCACTAAAATCATGGATTACTTTTGTATTATTTCGTTTCTACATTTCAGACAAAAAGATTATGATGCATCTATTCGTGAATATATCAAAACAATTGGTAAACTTGAAGCATCATTTGTTATCCAGAGAGTAAGTATGTTTGTTGTTTTCATGTTTCAGGAGACTTTATTTCAAAATACCTAAGAATGAATTAAAATTGTAGCACACAATGAATTTTGAACGAATAACTTCACAACCAAATAATTATCAAGCCTGTAGTTTGGATAATATGATGATTTTATCTATATTTCGAAGTGACTGTTTGGATTGCTTTTTGTAGTAGCGTCCTTTTAGGATTTTTTTGGGTGTGGTTTGCTTCTGTGATTGTAACAAACGAGCAAAATCTTCAACAGTTACCTCAACATTGTCATTAGTTTAACAGCTATTTATTTCAGACTATCATAGTACATATTCCTTTCACTCTCGTCCTGTTGGAATAAACTAAAAAAATATAACACCAAAATTTGTTACGACCATATATAAATGAGTATATTTCCCAAAGGAAATTTCGTATTACCAATCGTTCCAATAAGTTCCGTACTTTTAATCAACATTAGTTCCTAGAAATTTCCGATTAGTTTTTACAAAAGTACTTATTCGGTAGTTCAGAGATTCAAGCTGTACATTTTATTTTACCTAATAGCTTCCATTAAGGTTTACAGATTGATGAGCAACACTATGAAACTAATAACCCGCACTAGGTTTTCCGTATTAAACATAACCACTCCTCTGTTTTTATTGAAGTACATAAGACCAGGTCAAACATGCAGCCATTTATTACGAATACTTTCTCTTTTTCTCTCCAATTTATTTTACCATTTGATCTTATATCATAAGGTGATAACTCAGTCGTTTAATGATCATCAACGTAGAATCGGGTACGAATTTACTTTAGCCTGAGTTCCCGTATCATATTACCACGACGAAATGAAATTAACTAGATGAATATTGAAGGGAAATAGTTCGAAAATTTGAAGTAGAGATCATGAACCGATTGATGTTAGACCACCACAATTGAAAACCTGGGAGCACTGGACGGCCGTTTCGTCCTATTGTGGGGTTCCCCAGCAGTGCGCATCCACGATCCCGCTCACGGGATTCGAACCCAGGGGCATCGGTCTCGCGCGCGAACGCTTAACCAACTGGACCACTGAGCCGGCATCCAATGGTGATAGTTTCTAACATCAACCAATCCACGAAATTGCGCGACATCAATCGGTTCATGATCTCAATCAAAAACTTAATCATTTCCACAACCCCTATACTAGTAACAAAGTAGAGAGTTGTGTATGAAGGAATAATGACCTTCATGATCTGGAACGAGGTGAGGAGTGTGAGCATCTACGTCATTGTGATTAGTTATGGGTCACTTCACACAAAACCTCCAACCATTGATCGTGATTATCTCATTATTCATAACCGGGTATTCTGCATTTGCGAACATATCTCAAACCAATAGTTAATGATTCCATGAACTGGTGTTGCGTTTTGGTTCGTTCATCCCTAGTTGAAGTAAACACTAAGTGATAATATCCTTTGTTTTTAACCACTAGGTGACTTGTTCAGATCTACTTCGCTTACTTCAGTCTCATTGTTTTCCATGATGAAACATACGAAGTTTCGTCTAGTTAATTAGCTCTTTTATAGTTACCGCATTATACCAGTTATTTTTTATGATTACCTAAACAATGTGATGATGTAGTTGCTATGATCTCACTGATACAAGTTTTATCATAGGTTTTTTTATCATAAATTTTTTCACTATTCAAAAACAAGGAATATTTGAGCGAATCGTTCTTTTCAATAACTTCATCATCAGGCTCAATAGTCATAAGTCCATGAACTTGACAAAATTATATGTTAAGAATGGTGGACTTTTCCATCTGTTACGACATAAAAGCTTCAAAATTATGTTATTTGTGAATTATTTGAACTTTGCTTTTTAATAGTTTCTTGAAGGCAGTCACATCATTCAGTTAACTACTTATTTAGAAGCATTAAAAGAACGAAACTTGTCAACAAGTGATCATTTAATATTACTCCTTAACTGTTATTGTCGATTACAAGATGTAGATAAGATAGAACAATTTGTTAAAGTAAGTTAAAATGTTTTTGAATTGCTTGTTTTTCATTTTCTGATACGAAATTCTTTGTAACAAACTGTATATAATAGAAAGTGAGATTCGGTAGTCTCGAAACTGAACCTCTCACTACTAGTACTTAAGTTCAATATAGTATTTTACAGGTTTTAGTAAAGCTGAATCTTGTCTCCTTTAATTGTCATGATCAAGCTATTCGTTCGAGGAAACAAATATTGTCACTAGTCAGTCACTTATATACTGAACCAATTTAATACGTATGTTTTACGTTGTGATTGTTCTATGAAAATTCATATTTACGAAAATATATTAAAGAGCCTAATAGTGTGTTTTTTAATAAACATGAATTTCGACACTTGAATCTCTTGGAAATGTGGAATTCGTATTTTTACAACAGTTATCACTAGTAGAACGATCTTTATCCAGTGCATTCAGTTCAGGAACAGGAATGACATTAATACTGAACCGGAGATTTTTCAAGACACTTATTTTTAAAGCAATTAGTCCCTTTTATAACTTTCGATAGAGCAATGAAAGGACGGAGTTGATCTCAAAAATGTGATGTATTTGTGCTACACATTTCAAACAATCTGGTGACACATACTTGTCAGGGTATTTTGTATAAGGATTAATAAAGGTCAATTAAATGAAAGTTCAAGTAAACAAGGTAATAAAGTTGAGAGATGGTACAGAAAATTGTTGGATTACCCTAGGCCATAAGATGACTTAAGGATTACCGGGATAAATTCGAGGTTACGACAGATCTTTTTTGTACACATCTGGGGAGGGTGGTAAATTTACGAATAATCAAGGCTTCAGTAAACCTGCGAATTTGCCCTTGACAATTATTTTTGTCTCTACAAAAACATTGTAATCACTATTAAAACATCGTTTATCTGTTGTCCGTTATAAATGGAAATCACCTTATAGTAAGTAAAAATGCGACATTCTGCTTCCAACGTAGGATCTATAAACAAGTGGATGACGTTGAACTCATATTAGTAGATATTATCTATGTGTATATTTGAATGGCAAACCTTTGCGGATTCTACTAGTTAATATTTTACAATATTACCGTGGTTGTCCTCAACTAATTAATTCCGAAACTTAACTCTGTAAATTCAAATACTTTAATAGTCTCTGAATTTAAGAATAACCAGTTATGCTTTTGGAATATATTCATAAGTGAATATGACATGGCTAGTATCTATGTCAGTAGTTTCACCTCCATCCAGTATAAACGATTACCAAAAATGTTTTATTGTGTTATGATAAGACTAGACTAAGTGGTTTCAAGAATAAATGATACAGAATAGTAAAAGCAAATTGTTGCTTCTTGTTCCAGAACGACATATTTGAGACCATACTATCTTTGTTTTCTGTTACATTATTAAGTCCATCCAAGAAGCTTACACGTAACTCTACATCTCAGGTCATCAGTGTATTTACTAGTTGTTATTATTGATGGTCCAGTTTTTTTCTTAATCTAAAGTCACTTCTTTTAACCCATTACGTCGATATAATCTAGTTCCATTTACTATTTTGTTTTCTTTCAAAATTAAATATAGGCTCCTATAAATCCAATGTTAGACATAACATCAGCTTTGCATGTTTTAAAGCAATCAAAATATATTAATGCAGCTGTCAAACTAGCTGAAAATACTGACCGATACATAGACTGTATAGGTCTTTTAATAGAAGACTTAAATGATGGTAAATCAGCACTTAAAATGATCAACAGGTTGAATTTCGATGAAGTAAGTTGTGTGGTAAAAGTCTTCATTATTTTTTATCGATTTGGATTATGTGTTTTATCTTATGGGTGATTTTCTTCGCAGACTGACATGAATCCCACTGAAATCCAGGGGGCACGGAAAATCTTTCACTTTTGTATGGTACTTTTCTGCAGTGCACATTTTAGGAACCAAACCTGAGGGCATTAATGGTCTTGCTATGAGAGTTTATTTTTAAGACTGTGGATTTAGAGTCCAATGGTTCATATTAGTAAGTTACTAGTATAGTGTCAAGATCATCTACCTTCATTGATGACTACTGTCTCACTTTCTATATGGCTAAGTTCGACCGTCGATGGCTTCTCACCAGAATTTGGGAAGACTCATCTCAAACCAGGTCATTATTAAGTAAATGATTATATCATTGCTGAGGGGTTTCGTAAAAGCTTACCAATGGAACCGCAGGATTGTCTCACAAAATCGTTAATTGATTGAAGCTGGAGATGTGCATCATTTGACTTCAACTGGTCTAGGCGTTAAGCAACCTGTTTGAGACCCGAAAGCCCTGGTTCCCACCCTTGACATAAGTGCACGTTCCCGAGGTACGATGACAAACTCCTACTTAATGTTCCCTGGTATTTAGTTGCAGTTCAACTGATGTTAATTCGTCATGAAAACCACCTTCAAATTAAATGAATCTCCACCAAAAGTCCTAACAGTTATTTTTATCTGCTCACTTGTTTGTCTTTTTTTTTGTTATAAAACTTATTCATAATTGGACCTTGAACAATGCACTTTCTTTGCAAGATCATTTGCTGGGATCTCATTCTATGTACTCTGAGTACTTCGTTAGTATTCAATAGGATGCCAGGGTTACAGAAAGTTTACTCTTAGCGCTTTCAAAATTATTTCACCTACATTGTCATTAACCTACCAACTTGTCTCTTATCAATAATTTTACAGATTGACTATACTTTATTGTATTACGCAAAAATTAGAAATAGATAAATGAGGCATTAATGCTGTAATAGTCCATCAGGAATATATCTTAAATGTAATCATGCCATCGGTTATGTATCTGAAGTCAATACCTACTTCGAAATGTGTTGGTTACTAAATGTAAAAGTAGATATTAGATCGGTTCATACAAACCTCTTATTTATTTCTGAAACAGCTGAGTGATAGTATTTCAGCTAGTCATTTTCTCAGAGTGATATTTTATCGACCATAAACGTTTTGTAATGATGATGCTGTTGACAACTGAAATCCCAAATGGCTCATACATAATATAGCAAAGCATACTCATATTCCGTTAAAGTAATTTTAGAACTAACTGTCAAAGTATTTCTATATGTAATTGTTATTGAGAATTTTAGTGATCACTGAGATCTTGATTTTAGTGCTTCGTTTATTCAGCACTTCAGAAAAAATTCATATACCATCTCGTTATTATACTGAATTACATGTACAATCATTAATCTCTAAATCATATTAAACATTATTATTGATACTTAAAGTTCATTTCTCATTATATGTTTCTTTCCAGGCATTGAAATCTATCAGTGAATATGGACATCAGTTGATCACTCGTTGTCCTGAGGATACAATTAAGCTTTTGGACAAACTATGTGCTCATCCGGGTAGGATTTATATTTTCTTTTGCTTTTGAATAACATCATTTTCCCAAGTTATTACGATTTTTTTCTCCCTTGTTTTAATAACTACCCACTTGTATCTTTGGTTATTTTTCAGATATATGTGTAAATATTCTCGTTGAAATTATGTAGCCGACACAAACATTCAGCGTTTGATTGAGACTTTTCGGCAATCTAGGTAACAGAAAACGATACTGTGGTGTATTTCGTTTTCTGTCTCATGCTTTTCGCTACTAAATTAACAGTACATGTCTGTATCTTTTTAAAAATAAGTTTTTTCATTAAGATTTCAACCTACCATTTTATAGGAATCCACAAAATAATGCTTGAAGTATTTCATAATTGGACTTTTATGTTAAAAATCTACATTTTCCTTGTAAATTTGATTGATCTTAAGCATAATAATGCTTTTCTAATCATTGCGCTATTGACTACTGTCGAGTTAATCATACAAAACGAGTCGCATAATAATAATAATTCAATGCCGATGGGACAAAATTATTGTAAGACCTCATATAAACATTTATCTCCCTACATAATCGTGGTTTACCTACATTATAAGTTCTTTGAATTGTCCTGTGCATTTCGCTGGTTGTATCGCCTCTAAATTGTAGATGCATAGGCAGTGGCTTTTTGCTCACGGTTAGGCTTTATGCTCTCTTTTCTTGGCTAAACATTTACTTATGAACAACTCAAAATATCCATTTTCTCAGGGTAGTACGCAGTGCCTTTGTTTCTTTTTCAACCGCATCTAGGGAGCATATGGTCTTTATTCTCTAATAAAGTGTCCTAATCAGGTTCCTTTTATATTGTAGAGAATCAAAACTAAAAACATTTGTATATTAGACAGTCTAAGTAGTTTACTTGCTTAATTTTCTTCTCAATAACCCATCTACTCTTCTTGTAAATAAAACATCTAGAGAGGCTCTCCTACCTCTATTTTGTTCCTCACATGTGAATTTTTTGGGGGGATCAACTTCATTTAATCGCTTGAATGTTTCTATCGGGTCAGCATGGTCGTTACAAAGGATGAACCTATCGGTATTAAAATGGAAACTTGTCAATCTGTTGTATTAGTGGACCGTTTTTTAGTTTAGCGAGAAAAATGTCAGCCAATATGGGGTCACTTAGTGAGTCCATCGTGACATCACTTATTTGTCTATATATTTCACCATCAATTTAAAGTTTACGTTCATAGTACATTTCAGTAATAATCCCTCAATCATGTCCATAAGGGTTATAGTGTGTTTCTTGTTCTCTAAGTTATTCACAGATATATTATGCACTCTTCCTGAGTGGAACATTTGCAAACCATGATGTTACGTCCAGGAACTGGAATACATCCTTAATACTATGCTTCACTATGCGTTCGTGGAGTAGTTTTAAATGGTTACTAACAGCTCTGATACTGTATGATAAGGGGAATTGTACATGTCGCAAATTGGTCTCAATAAGATATCCGGTTTGTGCACCTTCGGTAGTGAGTAGAACCTTGGTAAATGGGTACATGTCAGCGTAATTGTTTCGTATATGTTTGATAGAATTCCCTATTGATCTCTAATTTTTTTCTTAAGGGTTAAGATGTTATTTCTCTTGTCAACACAGTCTTTTTTGTTAAGTGGGACAGTTTTTTCCTTTGTATTTGCTTTGAACCTGACCACTTTTTGGATTATTATTGTTAATATATAACTATAGAACCTGAAGATAATTTATTGGAAAGAATATTCTTCATTCATACATCTGTGTTTTAATATGATCAGGATTTTTCAGTGATTGTCACCATTTATTTTATTCGTTGTACGTTTTTACTTATGAATGATTACTTCCTCGTTGTTTGGTTGTAGATGCTAGTCGAATCAATGTACAACACTTCTTGAAAGTGTTTGTCAACAATCCTAAAGGTTTAATGCAGTTTCTTGATCGTTACATCAATGTAAGTTTTATTGTTTTTGCCGTTATTTCTTGTTGCTGTTAATGCAAAGCAGTCATTTTAAAAACATACTTGTATGTTTTCTTAACAATCGAATTATTAAATAACCAGTTCCCTAACATAACATTTACTAAAGTTCCATATTTAAACAACTTAAATTATTTTTGTAACCTTTTTATGGCTATACAATATGACATTTAGCGATCAGTGACATACACTGAATACCAGTTTTCATGGTGGAAGGGCATAAATGTCTTCTTGAATCAATGTCTGCATATGTTAGGACCGCTAAGTGAATATTGGTAAACTTAGATTTTAAATTATTTGGTACAGATGATTGTAAATTGACTGGTGTGACTGTTTACGTTAATCGATTCAAGTGGTTGTACTATGTATTTCGCTGCTTACCTACTGACTACCTAAATATGTTGCACTGGCCAGTGTACATATAAATATAGTTATTCGTTACCTTCCTCTTATTTCTTTATTTTTAATAGTATTTTCTTACTTTCCAATATTCCATTCTACTTGTTATTTATGATCTTTATTTATTACTTTTAGTTTTCTTCGTTAATTTCGGCATTATTGTTCTCACTTCACAGTGATCTATGTTTCTACTTGGATCTATGCATAAATATATCCCAGGTCCTATGTTGTTTATTACCGACTGTAACAAATTTATCTAAATTACATGACATTTGTGAAGTTTAAACTTATTCACCCCGCAAATGACAAGCAAGATACGGACGATCGGAAGCAAAATTATGCAATATTGTTTATCACTATTGAATATATCATAGAAAATAATTACTAATGCCCGTGTATTTGCCGATTCAACATAGATCTTTCAGGGAGAAGAATCCCTTGTAACAACACTATTTATTAGTTAGTAAATACATCCACAGGTAATTCTGAATAAACGTTGGCAGTCGTGTGGACATGTAAGTATACACTCGGTCACCGTTGCAATTCACACGAATCTCATAAATACTGTTCAGCTGGTCCACGATACTCTCGTTCAACCACTCACCAAACACCTATGAATTTTATAGAACAAATGGATTATGTTTAGTAGTGGAATCTTAGGCGCGCGTTTGTTACTATTTGCAACTCGTCATGTGGATGTACCTTATTAATAATGCCATAAACGCCTATGGATTTTTACATTTTCTTTACGGTTCAATTGTGTTTTTTTCATATGTGTTTTATACTAAATCGCTGTTTCTCTCTTTCTTCGCCTAAATTCAAGACGGCTTCACCTTCTAAATTGGTTGCAGGAGTTGTGGATACATTCTTAGAATTATTATTATATGAAGCGAATCGATTGGAAGCTGATAAATCAATGACCAGTGAAGAATCAGTTCAACTATTTCAAATGGCGATGCAATTATTATCGAATAGTGAGGTTAGTTTAAAGCAGCCACCTTTTCTAAATAATACCTTGCCGTCACGAAGTATTTTTCTGTTAATCTTTTCGTTTCATTTCGGTGAATAAGCTTAGGGAGTCTTGATTGTAATTATGTAGAGCCTAAAAGGTTAATGAAAAAAGGACACATTAGTTATATTACTTATTACTATGATTTAGACGGTTGTGTTCTTTCATAAACATTTTTCTGTTTCTTACTTGCAAAATCACTATGTTTTCATAATTTATGGACTAGTTTTTGACTCCTATCCAATCGCCATGAGTAATTATAGCGTCTATCTATGCGAATTTAGTTTTGAATCTTTGTCTAATATGCGATTTGTTGGATAGGATAATTTTAATTGCTTTCAGTTTGACCTATTTAATACGTTGTTCAAATCTTATTGACGAGTCTTAGACAGGCGCAAAATTTTTGCCCTCTAAAGGGCTAATAGAGTGAAAAAATATTTCTTTTCAATTCGTCTTTCATCACATCCCTCTCTCTAAAATTTGACTTAGCAAAATACTTTGATAACAAGGAAATTAAATAGTGGTTAGGTAAAAATAATGAAGCGAATATCAACTTTATGTAAGCACACAAAAGTGCAAGAAATCCTGAAAAGTTTGAAGGAATCAAAATTAAGTTATAACCTACTTTGGTATAGCCTGTGTGGATGACTAGGATAGAGTGAAGGTTTGTACAAACTACTTTTGAGTATGGTGGTTAGATTTTTAAATGTGGATTCTGATAACTTCAACAATATCCAAACGAAAAACTTGTAGACCATACAAAAAATTTTATGGGATACGCTGGATAATTTTTAACGCTCTATTCTTGTCAAGTTGTTTCAATCAAGTAAATGAGAGTAGACTTCTTGATCATTAACTGTCCGTCGTCTAACCTGGCCAGATAAAGTGTTCAACCATAAAACGACGAATTATTTGTTTTCAATTAGTTTGTAGTTACGATTTGTAGAATTTTTATTTAATTGGATACTGTTTACGCATTACATTAGTTTTAAATTATGTCTTTATAATCACCTAATATAGCTGCAATACGATGAAAAAAAAGCTTTAGTTGTTTGCCATCAGCGACAATTTTACAAAGGTTGTATCTATTTATGGGAGAAACAAAAGTTGTAAGTTTTCTTAATTTGAATACATGACAGTGTGTTCTAAACTTATAACTTAGATATGATCAAATCCTTCGATATTACATATCACAAGATATGAATGAAGAGATAATGAGTGTATGTGAAGATTATGGGTACGTCGATATATATATATATATATATATATATATATATATATATACTTGTTTCTTGCATTTTCTTGTTGAATAGCGCATCTTATTTTTAAATACTTGAGCAAATTTGGTGATTGCCCCGTCTAATTCATGTTACATAACATTTATCGAACTGATAGTGAAGAGTATTAATATTAAGTAAAAGTTGTTATCATAAGTATTACAGCATGATGTGAAATATTGTGATCGTTTTCTCCTTACAAATAAAAAATGTGATGAATCTTATTGCCATTGCGTACATAATTTAACGTTTCTTACATATGTAACTCTTCATTTGGCCTACTTTTCGTTGTTATTTTATGTAATGAATTCGAGTTTTAAAAATGATGAATGAGTTTCCAATCGTCAAGTCAATGAGTAGTATACTAATCGACCAATGGTATGCACTAGTCCTGTGACCGAATAATGGCTGCCCAAGAGACTGTATTGTTGACCCAAGCCCTTAAGTAATTTCAAATCAGACCACTGGCTAGAAGGATAGGTTTTGCTGTATAACGAAATAAAATGCTTATTTACAAAATATAACATGATAAGGTGACGTTAGCGATTGGGCGAAATCAATTTATAGTTTATTTACTCTCCAACCAATTAAGGACTGATTTTCAGGTCTTATTCTTGCTTGTAATATTATTCTGATTTGTTTTACAGGTTTAAAGGTGAAAAAAGCATACGTTGTTTTATAACTGAGTAACCGCTTATTGATTTGACCTCTGACTAAGCCACATTTACTAAGCGTGTTTAGTGGTACTTCTCTTTAGTGGGGTGTGATTTAAAAGTCTGGTATCTAAACCAATCCGCTAACAAATTATTTTATTCTCATACTATCCTAGTAACTAGAGCTTCAATTTCACAATGCGAAATATTATGCTTCTTATCAGTTATTAAAATGTTCTTTTGCTTTCTACCATAGATTAGTAGCTAACTCTTCTCTTTTCATCATCAAATAACCTGTGTCTTTAGTTTAGTGATTACGTCTTCTTCACGCTGTCGATAATTCACTTGTCCATGTTTATTATTTATCTAGTAACCAAATGCCAAATTTATGGCTTACTGCTTTGATTAATTACGCACACAAACCCGAACATTCAGATATTCTTAAACGAGTCATAGATCGTAAGTTCTATTTTTATCTATTTATTTAATCAATAATAACTTTTTCAACTTCACTTTTATCACTCTATATTCATTATACTTAAAAATATGGTTTATTTTAGTCAAGCTATTCATCTTTATTGAGAATTCTATCAAGAACTATATGAACTGTATGGATCATTGCCGACCATTGCTGAAGAGTCTCGTACTAGGACAAAACGGTTGTCCGGTGCTTCCAGGTTTTCAGTGGTGGTCTAATGTAGATGGTTTCACGATCTCGATGAAACTATACCAAAGATTAGTTTTCGTAGCTTTGTTAAAATGCTTCCGAGTGGTTAAATATAAATAAACTTCCTAGGAATGTTTAGTGATGACTGTTAAAACATTTTATCATCCGAAACATGTTTGTTCATAACAGATACGAAAACTGTAAGAAGAACAATCTTATAATGAATAAAATATATCATTTAATCTGTAGATAAAATAAACTGTTAAGTATCATCGAATTTTGCTGGTAAAGTACCTAAATCACTTTAGAACTAGCCTGTAGAGAGTAACTAATCAGTTGGATGTGGCTATTATTCTCGCTACAAAAATACTACTTTAAAACTTGCTTTATCTGTGGACTAGACTTTGAATGAAAAATAATTTCGATCTTGTTACCTTCACGTCCATGAGTAACTTTCTCAACTCTTAATCTAGTTTGTTCGAATGACATTTAAGCATTTTAAATCTTTATTCTAGACACGAATTGACTAAACACACGTTCTAGTCTTCCTATGGGAAATTTTGAAGTTATTTATTGATATCTTACAATTACTTACTTGAAATTTTCTATTACTAGTTGATGGCTAAGCAACTGACATTAAATCCTTAAAGAAAAATAAACAGTGAAGGTGAATCTCTATATATTGTAAATTATCTTTTCACAATATCTCCCAATGATTACTTTCCAATATACTAAGTTTTGACTTTAATTAGTCTATTGATATATGAGTATTTTCACTATGATGATTTGTGGAGATTGTAGTATTTTCACAGTCGACCAGTGGAGGTGAATCCGTGTCGGGTGTGAGACAGTTATCCACCTCAGACAATGGATGAAGGGTTGCGCAAGATCATGGATCGATTGGAGTTAAACATTAACACAGATGGATGTCGGTTCGGTGGTCCAGAGGTTGAGAGTTCGCGCTCGAGATCGGGGGTCCTGGGTTTCAGTCCCGTGTGCGTGATCTTGGATGAATACTTCTAGGGTGTTCCATACTAGGACGAAACAGCCTTTCAGTGCTTCCAAGTTTTCAATGATGGTCTAGTTTAGATCGACTCGTGAATCCAAATATGAATATTTCTTATAATAAACTTTGTTACGTGTGTGTAGATACTCAATGAAAATAATTTTATTTATAATACTAATCAATTAAGATATTTATTGATTGTAAACTTCTTAGTTGTCTATTTTTAACTGATTGTTATGTTTCACTTCACATTTTACTTTCTATTCTTTTGAAAATTTATGCAGAAGTGGACCGTTTAAATCTGGCATCACCACTTGTTGTCCTACAGTTATTGTGTGATAGTGATCATGAAAATTGTTGTAATGTTGGAACGATACGTGTAAGTTATGATCATCTTTAAAACCAGTATCTGTTATCATTTTGTATATATATACGTATATAACACTTCCAAAGAGTCCTATCTTAAGTGAGGGTTTCTCCTCTCCGAATATTCATCATCTGTAGCATTAGCATTTCAGTAATCACTTGTATACATTACTTCTGATTTCACAATGTTACACGTAAGGCTACTGATAATATATGTATCTATGTATATTTCGTAAATGGATCTTCACTTTTTGTGCTTACCGGATATTTATATTGATTTTCTTTCTCAAATAATCTTCTGATTTCTTACGATGCTTATTCTGTTTCATAGGATTATCTTCTACGCCACTTAGAAGCTGGCAGTAATCGAATTAACAGTATGAAAAATGAAGTGGATCGTCTCCGTAAGGAAACAATGCATAATCGTGAAGTAGTACGTAAATTAAACAATCAGTAAGTTTTTTTGTATTCGTCAAATTTTCATGATTAATAATCCAAATCATGAACCGACCAATGTTAAACCACCATTGAAAATCCAGAAGCAGTGAGCGGCTGTTTCATCTTGCTGTGGGACTCCTCAGCAGTGCGTATCTACGATCCCTCAAGGGATTCGAACCTCAGTACCCTCGGTTCCACGTATGAACGCTTAACCTCTAGATCACTGAATCGGCATCCAACGCTGTTAATGTTTATTTCCAACCAATGATTATGACGTTGCGACTCTTCTGTATTGATACTTGACTGTTTGATTGATTGAGTTTAAACATATTTTAATTTTTCTTGGCCCTCTTCAGTCAGTCAGCTACAACGTAGAACCAGGCACATATATGTATCGGTCCAAGTTGCTACACCTCATTAGCACAACAAGATAAACACCGAATTCGTAGAAGTGCTTACTTTAGCAGTGGCAACATATAAAAGGAAGATTGTATATAAGGATATAATACAAGAAGAAAGAATTAGTTCGTAGAAAGAAAGGAATAAAGTAATTTTAATCTCACAGTTTAAAGGAAGACAAAGAGTGTACACACGCCATTGTGAGCAATTCTGATCCATATCACCCAAAGTCTCCAACCATTAGTTACAATAGTCGCGCGGACCCCAACCAAGTAGTCTGCATCTACCAACACAGTTGGATGAAGTTATCAACACACATTTCGGAGTGGCAGAGGCATTAACAGTATTTGTGGTAATGGAAAAGGTTAGACACATACGATAGGAGTTGAGAAGCATGAATTCGCCGATTGAAAGGTATAAAATAATTTTAGAACCCAAGGTTTAAGAGAAGATAAAGAGTGGTTGTATTTGTCCAATTGTGATCATTCCTTAGCCATTTCACCTAATAATAATAGCTCTGACCTCCCCCAGGTAGTTTGTACATAGAGACATGGTTCAATTCAATCGTCACTAATTTCATGGACTGGTATCATGTTCTGGTTTAGCCTCTCCTTGCTTTCTTCCAGCTTACTTCTACACCAGTAAACAACGCTTGTCGAAGTAGGCAGTGATCAGGCAAGCAACGACACGTTGCTTTTTTAGAGATTTCATCCATAGAATAATTCTGGTATTTCCATGATAAGATTTTCATTATTTCTCTCCAAAAGCATATTGTTAATTACCGTTTTTCATCTCTTTTCCTACCACTAATTTGTTTATATGTTTTCGCGTTCTAGAGTGAAAATATTCCAACAACAAAAGTGTCAGCTGTGTCATCAAAGTCTGGACCCTCCATCAATCCATTTTTTATGTGACCATTCTTATCATAGGGTGTAGGTGAAATGTTTGAATTTTACTGTTTCCTTGTATAATCTGTGTTCTCTCGAAAAGTGATAAAATTATTACATTAATCATCAATAAACCTTAACCATTGTGAAGAAATTTGACAATCATGGTACTAGTTATTATTTAATCATCAATTAACGTGGAAATCTCAGTAGTATTGGTAGTCAGTAATAACCCAAATGTTTCGGTGGCAACGTATCTTACTGATCTTACACGATATAGATTTTAGTCCTATTTCTTAGAAGACTGTAGATACTCCTCGTTGGCAAGTACCAACTACCATGAAATTTAGGTCAAGGGATTCATACTGATTGCTCCTAATCACTTAGCAAAAACAGATCATGTTGTGCAATTAGTTATACTAACAATCAAAATAAGTTGTGCATTTGACTAAATAGTATCATTCTCTTGGCTTAGTTAAGGCGATCAAATTATCAGATTCTATAAACTTTTGTTTAATTAATATTAAACGGTTTCTCCACTTTCGTTCCGCTATATTGCCTGTTTACATTCCCGTCTCTCTACTGACATAGAGATAGTCATTGTACATTGGTTAAAACTTATTTCCCAAGATAATTAGAAAGATTAAGTGTTGAATAAATGAAATATACTTCTGGGTACGCTCAGCCGATAACTCTCAAATAGGACGAAGTACGCAAACTGGATTTCACCGCTAATCACTTTTTATCTATTCCATATAAACTTAAACATAATGGCTTTATCGAGACAATCTCTCCAGGATGACCAAATACCAACTAAAACTGATCAAAATTCCGTCAAAATATCAACAACGTGATAATCCAAACCATTTTAAAGTAAAGATTAAATGTCTTACTGGAAAATAATACTTTTTTTGAGAAATTCATATATATATATATATATATATATATATATATCTTCAGCATTATACTTGGTATCTATAACGTTAAACATGGAAAAGGCTGTGGTGAAACTACTCATTTACAGATTCGACAACAGTTCTTATAATTTTGTACTATATATATTCATATGATATTCATTATCTGACTATGAAAATTTAGTTTTTATCACGATTGCTAGAAAAATAACTGTCATGGTTTTGTATTGTCGAAATTAATAAACTGTTATATTATTGAAGTATTTGCTAACCTCTTTTTAAATTTTTCCTAATGTGAAATAGAACCTTGGTATATAAAGACTAATTAATTCTTTCTATAGATAATATTCATCCGCATTTTTCTTGTTAGGTTGTTTTTCATCTTGTTGGTGAGTTAGAAATGTAAGAATCTAAGTCTCTCAAGAATCACACATGTATAAATTGTATTTGATATATGAAAGCAAATTAAAACTGAGTCGTGGTAATTTTATTTAATAAATTGCCTTGGTTAAGTTTTACGATTGAGACTCTTTTAATATGAATAGAATCTAATGTGAACTCGATAAATCGGGTAACCGATACACAACATTTTGAAAGCAAATCCCCAAAATGTGATAGGATACAGAGAAAAATTAGAAATTCAAAATGAATACAATTTGGCTAATGAAATAATAACAAAATTAGCAAACTAAAAGTAAAAATAATCGGTTGAATAGCAACCAAGGTCATGGTGGATATATGAAATAGAAAAAAATGTTATCGTGGTTATACTTACCAGCAAGAACTATTATTTATGGACAAAAAGATTAGATAACTTGAGTTCATTCTTTCAGCAAGATTCAATAAAATAAATGTAGAAATTCATGAAATACTGGATGTTTATCACACCGTTTCGGAGTTTACTAAACAGTTTTTTTTTTTACATATTTTCCCTACTCGTAGAAAAACATCAATGTTACTTTGTATGCATTTTTTCTGCCTATAAATTATTGATTAATAGATGCTTTGACAACTATGCTTATGGTGACCAACAATGCCCTCAATGTGCACCTCAAAATAAGTAAGTTATTTTGTAGTTATGATGATCAGATTTTTTCCTTATACTTTTGTATTGATTGCTGTTTACTGGCGTTTATTTTATCGGTATTACTATCATTTTTAAATAGACTGTCCACGAAAACCATCACCGAATGTTTTCTTTAAAAAAACACAGTTTGCTTAAATTGGTTTAATTCTATGTTGCTGATCATCAGTTTCAGCTTATTTGCTAATATATTCAATATTACTAGCATACAATAGATGTGGCTAACGCTTTGTGTTCCGGGCTTTATGTTGTTGATATCTCTCTATCAATCAATCGTAGTTACATAATTTTACAATATGTATCACAGCTTCAACTTTTTCTCAATTTTTTATTACTGTTCCCCTTGTAGACTTTCCATTCGCTAGGTAAAAATAGATGAGCAGTTGTTTTCATATCTTGAAAATTCTAACTTTTAAATTCTTTCAATTATTCTATGGTCTTTAGTCTCTGTTCATGGTGTTTCTAGTTTGCACGAAATAGTTCATTCTACATTTCATCAAATGAATCCTGTAAATGAAGACAGAACAGATATCTCATCAAAGTTTTAGCTACCATTTTCAGTTTGACTCGATAAATTTTTATCGCGGAATTCCTTTGATTATCCAAACTAAAATCCTATTATCTTTGCTTTTTTATCTTAAGCTTTAAATATCTTTCGGAATTTCATCTGTTTTTCTGCATCCGTTTGTGGTTTCATAATCTGTTTAAGTTACCGGGTCGAGTTCATCTACACCGTTAGAAAACTTACTTTCAAGTAAAGTGGTTGTTTTATCATCCTATCACTGGTATACCCAGTTAGATTTGTATATCAATGCTGCTGTTATAGGTGTATAACTACTTCTCATATTATACAAAATCGTTTTTTCGTAATGTACTATTAAGAAAATTAGTTACTTGAATCATAGTAGATTGTTTAATATATATTGTTCAGTTCATAAATATTAATAATTCAATTATGATATCTTTAATTACTATAGTTCATTTATTTTGACCAACTGTCTAAAACTTAACTGGATAGAATTCACAATGTACAGTCGAATTAAGTAATTAGGACATCGTTCATGGAGTCCTTTACTATTCGGTTAGATCATGGCTGTAGATACAAACTTCATGGTTTGGCTCTGTGAGATAATCTTAGTCTGATTACAAAAAGGTCTTCATCAATGAAGTTTGTTAAAAAGTAAATGAATAATGTTAATTAGTGTGAATATACTAAGGGAAAGTTTAACATTCATAAAGTCAGACGTCTCACTAAACATGGGAAATTGTTATCAAAATTTACTTGATAGTATTTGCTCATAATGGATTTATTTAGAGTTAGTTCAGTAAATCTCAGATAAGGAACAAAAATGGACAGAAAGAATATACAACTGACAGGAGAAAGTGATATATTATGCAACTAAATGTTGGAAATTAACGTCACCAAGTCAGCCTAAAATTGAAAACAGTAACCTTTTGAATGCCCGGATTTGGTGTAAGCCGTTCGATAGCAGTGGCTTCAGGATAACGTAACAAATCCAGAATCATTGTTTTTATAGATTATTCTGAAGGATTTTGAAATATTGATGTTGGACCTACTATTCTGTAGATGGCAAGTATTCACGTTGTTGAAAATTTAACCCTCTCAAACGAGCGATTCGTTCAATGTAGTAAAACCAGTTTATTGGGTCGATATATTCTTTTCAATGAATCCTTTTAGTTTGAAGTCAATCATACCGGATATTTAATCACCTTTAAAGTTACAGAAAATAGGGTTTTTCTTGACTTTACCGCACACTTTATGTCTTAAAAGTTCTCTGCATGAAAATTTTTATCTGCAAACGTTTATCAGTAGACGTGAAAATACAGGAACAAAGTTTAGGTACTTGGCGTGTACTCACTGAATAACACTTTCATTACTACTCTTAATATATTTTATTACAATTTCAAATCTAACAATTAACTGTTAATAAAATCAAGCTAGATTGTTTTGTTTTGGTAAATCAGTAATTACATTTTCCGACTGCCAGTTTACTCGACTTGGTTTTCATTTACTGAAATAGACTTTAAATCAAATGGTACGGATAACAAAAGTTTTGAATAATGAATTCTATATATGGCTTAATAATTAAAATTGTAATTCTTATCAATCCTTCGTTTAGGAAATTGTTGGCCGAAATCAATAATACCTTGCCAATTAATAAATCAATATCTGGGAATGTTAAAGAATCACCTGATCAGTTATTAATTCAACTGAAAACTGCATTAGATCTAGCGAAAGAACTACCTACTACTAAAGAATCTCATAATATACCTTCTTTTGCAAATAACATTTCCACTACAACTTTGATGACCGATTTCAATTCATCATCAATTCATTCTCCACTTTTAAGTAAAGCTCTATCTAATGTTTTAGCTCAGAGTTCTGGGCTATTAACTAATCAAAGTAAATCAATCGGTAGTCAAAATCTAAAAAATGCTAATCATGATGATGTCATGTCTGTAGATAAACAATCCATTGGATCATTGAAAGTTTCAACTTCTTATAAGTAAGTGAATTGAAATATTTTTATAGGTACTTTTTCCACATATTTGTCTATGGTGAAATAGAGGAGTGTTACAAAGTTATCAATGATAGTCAAACTTGTTCAAATGGAAGTTAATCAAAATGAAGTGATGTTTCATGATTTAGTCAAGATTATCAAAAATTTCAAGTATTGAATATAATAATTTAAGAATGGATTTCATCTTAATGTCATTAAAGTTCTCAAACATTGAATAAAAAGTGGTTACGTCATTTAGCAAAATAATCACAAATCATCCAGAGCTTACGTTATGTTATAGTTTTAGAAGTTATAAAAGGCAACAATCTACAAGTTAAGTATAACTATCCTTTGTAAAATAAGCTAAGAAGAAGGTAATACTTATCAATTATAATTTGTAAAATTCAAAGGGATGGTTAAACAGGCTAGGCCATGGGAGAATAACGTATTGAACGTGACTCTTCCATATACAGAGGTAGGGTTTAAAATGGTGAATTGCTCATAGCCTCAGCTGTGCACAAATTCCTCATCCAAACCTTTTCTCGGTCCGTTCTTTTCACTTTGTAGAGGATTTCGGATGACGATTCACTTAGTGTGACCTAAGTTGGCTGTATGTTCAAGGATTGAGTTGTTGATCGACTTCCATTCCACTTTGGATACCCATGTAGTGTAGTGCCCGGATATTCGTTTACCAAGTGCATGCTTTACAAGTCCAATATAACCTGTTCCATAACAGCAAGTAAACTGATAAATGAACATTAAAGTAGTCCAAAGCGGCAGCTTACTTTTTACATTTTGTTCAATGAGTGGCTTGTTGGTGAAAACAGTTTAGATCTCTGGGATCCAGATGGACCGTTCTTTAGTATTTCAGCTTCCGTTTCTCTCCTAAATCCAGTGTCCAAAAATAAAATTTTCTTCGGAACTATGGAAGTATTTTCAACTTGACGTTTTGGTTTTAGGTTACTGTCAATGTTATAAACTTTTTATTCATTGAGAGGAAAACAATTATTAAAACTAATCGGTAAAATTTGTTTACAGCTTTCAGACAATTCACAACATACTTGGTTACATAATTTCCTATTTATAAGTTATGGATTCATCTATATTAGAATACTATTATAGCATCCCTTTAAAAAATTTTCGTTTGTAGTCCAACCATTAGTTAAAGAATTGCAAAGTACTTAATAATCAGTAGATGTAGTCAGATTCTGATAACTAAGTGAACTGATCTTGAAATTTCCCTCTTTTTATTGTTTATTTGACTCACTTTTCATTTTCAAAACAACTCTTCGAATGAATTCGTCATGTATATTCTTCTTCTACAATATTACTATCGACTTCTAATGGATATTATTTAATAAATGTGATTGAATTCAACTAAATAACTATATACATATTGAATGGTTTATGTTTCGATTTATATTTCTTGTGAGAGAGTTAGCAAATTAGTTGTATGTTTAGACTACAATCAGATGCAGCAGGATTTGAACATACATCGTAGTTAGTTGGAAAACAAGTATTTTCAAGTCACTTTACAAAGTCATCACTTTAAGTACTAGAGATAGGCAAAAATGAACACCTAACTTTTTACTATTCAATATTTTTTATTCTAACTTCTACAACTTCAATTACATTAATCGTCAGTTAATAAATTTTAAATGTTACATGTACCGCTGATATAAAAGACCCCAGTTTTATTTTAATGTTCCTTTTTTAAAGATCTACATTACATAACCGTTTAGTAAAACAAATGAAGCTGCTTAATTCCGTGAATCATTTAGGTCCTAATAAAAATCACTTAAGTTTACTCTTCTAGAGAAACAAGGGAATTTCCCAAAATTTCTCCAGAAATAATTTATTTTTAATGGTAAAAACAAATATTAGTCCATTAAACTGAGTAGTGAACACATCATAATGAAACTGATGGTATATGTTCAATACTCATTTTTTGTTTTCTAAACAGTAATTATCATAACAAAAAGGAATGAATGTACTATGCTGCTTAGATGATTCAATCTTAAAAAACAGTTTTACTCAGTTCATTTAGGTCGTTAGTGAATTTTGTTTTGATTAATTGGGGGCCAAGCTTATGTAAACCTTATTTATACTACATAATAACTCAAACAAAAATTGCTTTAATTTATTACTGTGAATTTTCAGCTAATAGACTTCAGATTGAATTTCTATATCTATTAATCCGAGTGAATCAATGTCACAGTATTCAAATTATCTCTGTTTTTTTTTACACTAAACACGTTTTTGTACAAATATTTGATTATTTTATTACTAGGTCTCCAACATTACCTAGAAATTCTTTGTCGAATCAGACTACTTTGACTTCGACAAATGCTAAAACTCCCTATACTGCTAGTGATTATCACAGTTCATCAACCAACCCTTTTGAATTGGAATCATCTATGTCTGTTGGTTATTTCTCATCTACTAACCCAGCTCAATCTAACTTATCTGTACATAAACCATTAAATCCATTTGATGAGACCAGTGATTCTGTCAATTTTAATGATGATGAGGGTGATGGTAATGAAAATGTAACATCTCATTCATTTAGTCATAGATCTGAACATCATGAGTCTGTGGATGTGGGTTTCAATGAATCTCTGACTGGTGAACAGCAACGACAACAAAATGTTTATAAGCCACGATCATTAAATCCTTTCGATTGGGATTAATACACGAGATTGTGGTTTAATTTTTGCACTATTACTGTTTTAAAAATAATTATAATTTCGCCGGTTTTTATTTTCGAAGTATATCTATTTTATTCAACTATTTAACTTTCTCATTTCTAACCATCAACATTACTACTGATAATCATTCCTGTTTTCAATTTCCCTCAGTTCTTGTATGTGATTTCATTTTTTTGTCATGATGCCTACTTTGTATTTTGTAGTTTTCTGACATTTGTTCGGTATTAATTGTAATCATAGTTTTCTTCTGGATTTTTTTTCAATAGAAATGTTTAGATCCAACCACTAAGTTGTAAATTACTCCGTTAATATTAAGTTCTAATCCTGTCATCAAAATACAGTTGCTTACTTGATATTAAATTTCCATGATGATGTAAGGAGTAAGTCGATTCTGTATTGCAAGTTTTCCCACAACTCATATCTTCTTAACTTTATTATACCGAATCATGTTTCAGCTGTGCTAGGGCTGACTTCTAAAGTTAAGCCCTAGCGGACTCACATAGTCAATTCTCTGTAACTTCATTACCTTTGGAGTCTACAAAGTAAAATAAATTTAATTCTTTTGGTAATGATATCCTCAATTTATAGAATTTATTAAATAATTGTTCTGAAAGAGATATCTAACTGATCAACAAATGTTCAACGAACTATTCCAAAAAATGACCTGTGACAAATTTTTACAAAAGAATAAAAGTTTTTATCACCCTCTGACTAACTGATGGAAACAATTACTCGTAGCTCAACAGTTAGTCCCATTTTGTTAATCACTCCTCTTAGGGTTTAGTATACTGTGTTTTGCTAGAGAAGCTTTTGACTGTAATAGAAGCTGAACTGGTATTTTTGCTAAATTCGTCTTGTTTGTAAAGTTAGAATCAACTAACTTAAGCAGAAAGTTTGTACCACGACATAATTCAATATGTCTCAAAAGTACTTTCTATACTGTACAAAAACACTTGGTTTTTCCTAATTGAACAAACTTTGGACCGTTGGTCTTCTGCATCCAAGTCAAATATTAGAATCTTAATCTTTACATTGTCCATATATCATTGCAAAATGACGTAGTTGGTGGGCTAGCTTTTGCCGCATATCCAGTTCTGCATATCACTGAAATCCTTGTACATTAGATATAGTCTGTCCCTGAAAAGATATACCACAATGCACGACCTGTCGATCTCAGGAGCACCTTAACGTGCTCCACTGACTTCCGGACGATATTGAAACGAAATTATGATTGGTTTTGGCACCGCAACGTACCCAGCAAACATTTTGAAACTGCAGAGAACCCTGTAGTAATATTTGAACTTCAATCTTGTACTAGAACACCTTCCGCAGTGCTTTGGCGATAGAGTTAGCAGATAAACACGGTTGTCTTATATACACCACAGATGTGGACATCGACACAAAAAAAGAAATGTCCATCCTACTAACTTGAACAATTATCAATGAAAACCTGTATTCGGTATGCTAGTAGCATGTTGAAGAACTGTCCACATTTTAGCAGCCCTATATTTGACCAGTTGGATCAGACGATGATGGTTGCTATCGATTTATACATTCCGTCAATCCTCGTAAATACTTATTGACGTAAATCGCATTAGCGAATAACGGAAATGAAGTTTGGGTACGTATATAATGTATACTCATTGATTTCAACTGACAATCGAGGGAACAACGATAAGTGGAAAGAACGAAAAGAAATGACGCAAAATGAAGAGGACAAGTGAGTCTGTTTGATTTAATCAATTGTCTTTCAATATTTCTAGTCAGACCCAAAATAACTTACGGACACGTAATGAGTAGGATAAATAATTAACACACATACAGTCATATAAAAGTAGTCAGGGTTGGTAGGCAAATAAGTTACAAGTTCAAAATGTGGCTTGAGAAGAACGAATGAACTGGTTGGAACAGAAGCCGAAATAGCCTTTATGAACATGATATAGTACCAGCCCCTAGAAATACCCCATGTAGAAAATGTTACATTAATTTGAAAAGATGTTTTTGAGAATAAAACAGGAGTGGTATACGGCTAACGTTAACAAAAAGTATAGAGTATAGTGCCATGTGATGGGCGAGTGTAATATACGGAAGTTTCATACTTAAGTAAACAAAGTAGATGAATATCGTTAAAATGCGGAGAAAATGGGTAGTTATAACATGCGATTATGAGCAGACTAGTGAGCGTACAAACAATTCACATGCATTCATGTTCTATAATTCTATGTACGATAAAATAACACCGTAATAGCGATTCAAAATGTCGTGAAGACAAAGTATCGTATCGTTCATTATTTGTGGATATGTATGCTATTTGTTCGAACTAATGATTTATTTGTACTTGATTCTCAGTGATTACGAATTCTAAATACAATACTCGCATTTTTGCGCATCTAGTTCTACCTGCCTAAATTTTCACTGTTTCGGGCATCGCTAGGTAATACAATGATTTGAACACTCGTAATTATCACATTGGCGTCGTGATGAAACCTTGAACTGAGCACTTGGATATACATTCAAATTCCGAAGCTTTCGAACATAACATGGAAAGGTTCGAAATCTGGAGTGTGACCAGGAAAGATGTTAAGGATGATAAAATTTTGGCTTATTTACTTACATTTATAAAGCCCACTAAACACTGACATTTCCAGATAAGCTTATTTCACCTTCCTACAAAACTCACAAAGAATTACTTATAAGTCATGTAAAGTGTACAAACTTTGAATGTTGCAAAAAAACAAGATTTTGTAGAGCGTTCTGTTAGAATATCCAGGAGGTTAGATAACTTATCGTCGAAATGAAGAAACAAGCCTTCAAGTGTTATCTTCGTGAACAAATTCATGTGCAGGTGCTTGATCGATGCAGGGTTTAACATACCGGATTCGGAAAGCGAGTCTATACAAATACCGAAGCGTCCTATTTTAGATGATAGAACTGCACATATTAATTATGAAGCATCAATACTTTCGCTACATTATATAATTTTCCTAATCCAGTTCGTACACAAGGCCACAGTGGTGAACGGGTAATTAAAGATGATCTTCATTTTCGTGAGAACATAACAAACAATTCATTGATAAACTGCAAAGCGCTAAACAAAGGTGAGCAGAAATTCGGTGATTATTTATCATATTGTAAACGTCTCTCAAGTAATCCATGTGCTTATCGTCATGCCATACGCTTCAAGGGTGCTAAAGCAAGACCCATGAAGTCTGTTTGTCAAACTACTGTTCATTTTGCCACTAGTGATGATGAACCCTGTAGTTTGTGTTTTTGTTAGGCTCGGTGCTCCTAATTATCATGTACTTGATGGAAAGTATTTTTCATAGTCAAAAATGTTATAGCCAAGTTTCTCTCTGGTCTATTATTGGCGCACGGTCGATCGACCCACTCGTATACTATGACCTAAATAACAAGAAAACCAAGTCCGGTTCAGGTATGAAAGTTTATGAGCGTATTATAAGTAACCGACAAAAATATATTGTTCGAATAATAAATATAACAGTTATACAACAAATCTTTAATTTTTAGGTTTGTGGAGCAAAGCTGTTGAACTACAAAATCTAAAGCCGAGTGAAACAAAGTATATCGGAGGTCAAACTTATAAACAAACAAGATCAAAATTTGAGCACAACGTAAAAAACACAGTTATGCTAGCGACATTTAGTATAACACTATTCATTCAAATAATTTCAGTTCTTCTCTCACTGAGCACCGATTACAAAGTTTTCCTTGCTCATTTCATGACGAGTTGAGTTTTATTTGCTAAACAAGATCCTGATGCTTTGCCTAAATATTTGATAGTTGTGTGTGCCAAGTGCAGAAGAGGTATTGGTATTCATCGAATTCTGATGGCAAGACACCTAGACTATGTACTGACTATATATTAAAATTGAACTCCAGTTTGTTGAAGCAGACATGCAGGACGGTGGAAACTGAAAATAGTCTGAATCAACTTCATGATTCGAAAGTGCTCACTTAAATGATTCTTATCCTTAAATTTATTCTGATCAATCTCGATCTATTTTCACGACAATTAACACTAGTTTTGGCCTGTTCAAATACACATCACTTCCATTTGCTTCAAGTTGTTCTCCAGCTACATTTCAGAAAGTGATGAATAATGTGGTGAGTAATCACGAAATTGTTGAAGTTCATCAAGATGATCTCACTGTTCTTATTTCTGATAAAATAGTTCATGATCAGAAACTTAACGCTTTCTAGCGGTATTTAACTGAGAAATATATTACGGATCTTCCAAACTACGTTTCACGCGAACTTGCTGTTGCTTAACTCGGTTATGCAGAAATTCTGAGAGAAGAATCGGCTGTTCTGAGCTATAAAATGACTTTATTGCAAGATTTGTTTTTTATACGCTCATACGCATTCACCATCTTTTTTCTGACTAGCTCTTCGTATTTCCGTACTATACTGTTTTTTCCATCTTGTTTTGCGTTTTCTTTACTGATTTTTATTCTTGAAATTGATTGCAGTTATTTTTACCACATGGTGTGTGGCTTTGGGATCCTAAGTATTTCCAGGATGTCATTGAATTTTAAGAAACAGCTCCATCTTTCCTTTACTTAATATTGTTTTAATGTCACTCACCATATTGACTGTAATGTCTTGATCGACCGAACTGATTACCTCTGTTCCATGGGGTTGATTTTGAATGAAGTTCTTGGCAAGTCTCATATGTTGGTGGCCAGAGATAAATGTAGACATATATCGTGCGGTGAAATTCATAAGTTGAAATGCCATCCTTCGAAGTGGGCTCCATAGCCAGTATCGCTCGAGACATGACGGAGAGTTTATGCAGACTATTGTGGTCCATTTCTTGACGAATACTATGCATTAATAGCTTTTGATACTTTTTCGAAGTGACATGAAATTTTTTCATAACTTCACTGAGTCCTTGCTTTACAGTCCAAGTAATAAGAGGAATGGTTAGTCGAGAAGAGGTTTCCATGGTGTTGATGAATGATAATTACTCTCATTTTTCTGAGGACACAGCCACTACCTAGTTAAGTAGTATGGAGTACAAACACATGTTTCCTGATCCCAAGCATTTTTATTGTAGTAGTCTAGAATAGACGTTTTTCAGGACATTATAACTGCTACTGAATCTATTGCCACCTCGACATTTTATGAACTGGAGAGGGAAATATACACTTTCCGACTTCAATATGGAAATGACACGTTCTGTGACGAAGAAGAAGGATTTTCCTACAGAATATTTAGTGTTTAAAGTCTTTAGAAGTTAAGTATTATCGTGGTAATGACCTCCGACCAGTCAAACGAATTGTGGTGAATAGTGTTGGAAAATTTTCCGTGCAAAATTCAAGGTATCAATGATATCGTATGCCCAACCGTCATGCCGATCAAATTTCCAATTTCGGTTGTTAATCTCAACATTAATGGGTACATTCTAGATCATACAGTGTATATATCCAATACGCTATCGGACAGACACGTGATGAACTTTAGGAGAAGTACAACCGATTACAAAAATTAGGATTCTCATTTAAGCTGTGGTATTTGTACTAACTGATGATTCCTTTTACTTGATTCCCTCTTACAATGAATTTCAAATATGATAAATTCATTTGTACTCATCTAGTTCTACCGACATTAGAAAATCAGTTTGAATACATTTATTCATCATATTATACAGTCGGTGTGTACGTTCGGCTAATACTCGATAAGAGCTTTGAAGTCAGAAATGCTATACATCGGATTGATTTTAGAGGAACACGCGCATTGTCAAAAGTAAACTTACGAACTGCGATAATAGTAAAAACGGTAGAGATCGAAGTTCATTTATCCCTGGGGTTGTGACTATTTAGACCCTCACCCATAATCTTGCGTTCCTTGATGCTCGACATTGGATCTCATCACACTCAAGATAATAATTTAGCTCGCGTATCAACCCATATAGAGAGTTACCGCTTAACACAAATACAACTTAATTGCTACATTCCAGGATATGAACAGAAGCTCGAAATCGAATTCATATGAAGGATAAAGATATCGTCAAAACTTACGTCATACCCTGTTTAGTCGTTCAAAACTTTTACTCGTGTCGTTCGAGTTCAAGTGTTTGATGCAGCTTATCAACTCATGATCGCCAATCGCTGCACATTTCTCACGACATCCAATCAGCTTAATTTGAATATACATTCATATCGGCCTTCACTAAACAAAAGTTTTAATCCCACCAACTTTGACTCCCGGTATGTTTGGCATTGAGGTTTTTTCGCAAGGGAATATTTCGGGTAGTAGAGCCGTCAGACACTCCATGGTCGATATTTCCTCAAACTCAGTGAACTTTCTTGGACATACAACTGATATGAAAAATATTAACTCAATGGAGAACAAAGTCGTGGCTACTTAGTAATACGCAAAATAAACCGAATATAAGTTGAATTGAATTTCAAATGCATTTGAAAGCATTCATTGCTAATTCGTGCTAAAGAGAGTGTGTTTTCTTATGAAATCATTTCAACATTACCAATACAAGAGTACAAAACGTCCATTTCAATATATTATTTGATATCGTTAGTTAAATTGCATAACACACATGTCTGATGATGTCACAGGTATTCAGTGTTTGACAACGCTTCTACCAGTAACACCTAATATATTTCGTTCCCGCCCAGAGAAATCAAAAGACAGAGTCGAGGAGATCGGAAGAGTATATTTGGCGATGACCAATATATCGGAATTCTCTGATCTAATCTGGCTAGCGATTGCGGTTGATGTTGAGCACGGCGTTACCACACGTGATCTAGTGCGGATGCCTGACCGAGCGCCTTCAGCTAGGTGAGTCCACTAAAACATATGGTCAGCATCCAATGTCGAAAACTTAGTGCTATTTATTTTGGGGATTTATTTACCGCTACAGATCACTCCCCCCCTAGTGGGGCAGTGACGACCCTAAGACGTGGCCAGCCAGAAGTTTAAACCCAACGAGTTTGTCGTTGGTAAACACTCTTCTGATAGCTTACTAAATTTAGCAGCGTCTGGTCGTCTTTCCTTACTATATGGGACCGAGGTACAACATAGTAAAAAAAGAAAATGTACAATGAAAATTTCGGATCCTCATAAACGTCATCGTTCTTTTCCAGCCGTCCTGGAAAAGAAAAAAGAAAATGTAAGTGCATGTCGAAAATACACTCGTTTGTGCGTAAAAACACAATGTCGGCGGAAAAAAATGGAAAATAAACTCATGAACACGTAATAGCGTTAAAAAAAATTGTTTTTTTGTTTGTTTTCTTTTAAATAGAAATAAAAATATATAAGCATATTAAAATTGTTTTTTTTTAAAAAAAATAATATAAAATGTCAAGAAGTGCCTTACGTGCAATAGTCGTTTAAATGTTCTGGAAATCTCACCCTTCTTCCAGAACGCGTCGTTTTAAGTTTATTTTCGGATACTGTCGAAGTATCATCGTGTGTGTTGGTTGTCGGCTGAGGTATTATAAGTGTCGGAGTCGTGTCGTTCGATTGTACCGAAGGAAAATCCACGTAGATAGGATTTCCTTCTAAATACGCTGCTTTTAAGCGATCGATGTTGATGCTGTCGTTGGTTCCGTCCTTATCGATTATATAGTACTTAGATTCACGTTGAAGAACTTTGAAGGGTCCTTCGTATGCTGATTCGAATGGTCGTCGATGCGAGTCTCGACGAACGAAAACGTGTGTACTATATCGTAAGTTAGGTTGAACGAAAACATCAGTTGATTGAGGTCGAGTGAAAGCAGGTTTAACTGAATGCATTGCGTTTGTAAGCCTGTTCGTGTAGGAGGTTAGATCCATGTTCATTGAAGAGGATGAAGGACCCACGAATTCTCCTGGAAGTCGAAGTGTCGTTCCATAAACAAGTTGAGCCGCAGTGTATCCAATGTCAGCTTTCACTGCATTGCGGATACCTAGTAAGACGAGTGGAAGAGCGTCGGTCCACTGTGAAACGTTTGCAGCTGATAGCGAAGCTTTCAGTTGTCGGTGAAAACGTTCTACCAACCCGTTTGCTTGTGGATGGTAGGCGGTCGTTCGGAAGCGAGTGATTCCTAAAAGTGTGGTCAGACGACGGAAAAGATCAGATTCGAACTGACGTCCGTGGTCTGTAGTGATGGTTGAAGGGCAACCGAAGTTTGCTACCCATCGTTCGACGAAGGTGCGGGCCACTGTTTCAGCAGTAATGTCCTTGATAGGTACTGCTTCTGGCCATCGAGTGAAACGGTCTACGCAGGTTAAGAGATAAGAGTATCCATTTGAATCTGGTAAAGGTCCTACCAAATCCAGATGAACATGGTCGAAACGAGCATCGGGAGTTTTAAACGAGCCTAAGGGGGATTTATTGTGTCTGACAACCTTAGATTTTTGGCAGCTTACACAGGAGCGTGCCCACTCCCTCACGTCTTTATTCATTCCAGGCCAGCAAAACCTTTCTGCTATAAGCTTGATGGTTGCACGAACACCTGGATGAGAAGGTTTGTGCAATGTATTGAAGACATTGCGTCGATAATGTTTCGGCACGATTGGGCGATCCCTACCTGTAGATGTGTCACAAAGTAAGTTTTCACTACCTGTTCCCATCTGTTTGATGCGTAGTTTAAGTGTTGTGGACGATAACTCGTGCTGAAGATCACTGCCTTCTTTTTGAAGCTCGGCGAGTTTAAGAAGGTCGATTCCCTGGAAACTGTTCAAGGAAGTTATGCGAGATAAGGCGTCTGCAACTACATTGTTTGCTCCAGAGATGTGTTGAATGTCTGAAGTAAACTGCGAAATGTAGTCCAGTTGTCGAGACTCACGGGGAGAGTACTTGTCTGAAGAGGAGCTTAACGAGAAAGTGAGCGGTTTATGGTCCGTGAAAAGAGTGAATTCACGACCTTCGATGTAGTGTTGGAAATGCCGTACAGCACAATACATAGCTAGGAGTTCCCTACCGAATGTGCTGTACCTTGATTCGGTGTCTAGCAACCTTCTAGAGAAAAATGCCAAGGGTTGCCAGGAGTTGTTAACCCATTGTTGTAAGACTCCTCCGATTGCTGAGTCGGATGCGTCTACTGCGATGCTAATGGGTGCTCGGGTGTCCTGATGTGCGAGCATTGTTGCTTTAGCAATCAGTTCCTTAACTGTGTAGAATGCTTTTAGTGCGTTGTCGTCCAAATTAATGGATTTCGCATTTCCACGAAGTTGGTCGGTTAGAGGTTTCATAAGTAATGCGCATTTCGGTATGAAACGTCTATAGAAACTTACCAGGCCGTTAAACGTGCGTAATTGCTTGACGGTGGTCGGTTCTGGGTAATCCAGAATGGCCGCCACTTTGGTTCTAAGGGATCGAATGCCTTGAGCATCGATAGTGTGTCCTAGGAAGTCTAACGAGTCGGTTCCGAATTGGCATTTCTGAACGTTTACAGTTATGCCGTGTTTTTGAAGTCGTTCGAAAACAAGATCCAGATGCTTGAGATGTGTTTCTCTGTCCGGACATACGCGTGTACGAAGTTGAGACCTCGAAAAACGTCGTCTATGAATCTTTGGAATGTTTGAGCAGCATTCCTTAGACCGAAAGGCATTCG